ATATAATACTGCTGTTATATTTTGTTGATATTTTCAGTGCATGAAAACTGAACTTTTTTGGTCATTTGCATACTTAACAATTTAAAATGTTGCCATAAGAGGATGGACTGTTGCAGTTAATGATAATGACACAACAGTATATTTATACTATCCTTGTGGATCCTGCTTGTACTATATCTGTCTGAAAGACAGCGATAATGTGTTTGCTTTAGTATTTTACAAAGATGTTAAAGCCAAAAAGGGGAAAAATTCTTAAAAGCCTCTTAAAGATACACAACTTGAATTTAAGGTCTCACAATAAAAACCCAGCAAATGTCATGTAGGGTTTTACCTTGTATTTAGCAGACAGCATGAAGTCACGGAGTATATACAAAGCACAGTTATAGCTCTCCAGAAGTGTGTGTAAAAACTATTGTGCTACAGGGAGAGAGCCCCAAACATGCCCTTGGGGAACCCTCCTTTTCTTCTTTTTATAGGAAAGGCCCTAATTCATGGTGACAAACTGAGCCATCATTATATTTAACAGAGTATCATAAACATTCCTGCATGCTGGATGAAAATGGTAAAAGTGTCCCTAGATGGACAGGTGGGTAAACATGGGGGCATAACCTTGCAGCACACATACAAAAACACACACACTGAGGTCCCTTTTGCGTGCACACCTGTATATGAACCATAAGCAGAGCTGGGAATGCACCCGAGGCTATGATTTAGCCCTGTGAGGAAAACACTGTCTTCTTCTCTTGTTGATGATAATTTTATCTCACCCTAGATTGGAGAAAATTTACAAACAATTCGCTGAAACTAAATTGCAATGACATTGAATAACAAAGCACAAACTACACTAGTTTAACACAGATTTAACTCAACATGCAGCTGTTAAACTCATTGACTACTTACTGCACTGACTAACCTTTCAGACACTATGAAAATAAAACTGGATTTCAGATTTATCACAGTGTCATTGTACTGCATTAGTTTGTACAGGTGTGATTTATGAAGTAGTAGCCCAACTGTTAGTGCTGAACTGCGGCTTTTATGTGAGATGATCTAATGTTCGAAGGCTAGCTACACCCATGCTGATAAATCACTGACCCGTCTCAGGCCTGTACATCTCCATGGGTTACAGCAGTAAAGAGGAGGCCCTGAAAGAAAGCCGCATGCCTCTGTGTCAGTGCGACTGTAATTGTGTTTTTAACTAGTGTGAATACATGTGAATATGTCACAGAGAAAGCATCAAAAGAACCATAATCAACATAGCACTTTCTTTGCATTTAAGCTGTTTGAGCTCTTTTCCTGAGGGCAGCTTTAGGTCTGTTTTGACCTAAAATTGAATACAAAATCTGTGCTGAGAAAGTAGATTCTGCCTGAGAAGCTGAAAATAAATGTTTGCTGCTCTAAAATTGTGGTCTGAACCTTTCTTGTGCTTTCTTGTGCTTCTGTACGTGCAGCCGTTATTTTGGGTATATACTGTAAATGTTCCTGGTAAGTGTGACACCAAGGCAAAGTGACTAATGGACTAACGAAGCTGATTCTTTTTACCTGTCAGACAAGACATCCTGTTTGCACACAGGGCCGTGTGTGTCTGCAGCTGATGACCTCAACACATGTTGTAATTCTAAGAAATATCCAGACTTGATTTTTCACTTTATGCATACATCAAAGTTTGACTGCAGTGTTGTCACCGTAACGGATTCTACATGCATGTCAGGTTAATGTGTTTCAATCTCCTCACAGCTGAACAAGCTCTGTGATGCAAGTGTGAGTCCCTATTTTGCAACTAATTCACTGTGTATCATAGTTGAGTTAAATTACTTGAGTTACAGACCCTTTCCAAAAAATTAGAATGTTATTGAAAAGTTTATTTATTTCCCTAATTTTCATTCAAAAAGTGAAGCTTTCATAGATTATAGATTTTCAACAATTTCAAGGATTTATTTGTTTATTTTTACATGATTTGGGCTTAGAATACTGTGAAGAAACCAGCCCAAATTTTGCAGAGCATGAATGTTTTAAACTGAGTGTCACACACTAATCAACCCTAAACTCAAAGCACCTGCACAGATTTTCCCAGGTGTAATTAATTTGCTCCAGTTTGGTTTAATTGTCTCAGTTTGGTTCAATATAGGGAAGACTGCAGACTTGACAACTGGCCAGAAGACCATCACTGATACCCTCCATTGATACACATAAGGGAAAGCTGTGCAGGTGCTTTGAGTTTAGAAGTTGATTAGTGTGTGACACTCAGTTTAAAACATTCATGCTCTGCAAAATTTGGGCTGGTTTCTTCACAGTATTCTAATTTTTTGAATTCCTGTTTTGTAGGTTTTAGGAGGTGGAAGCCCAAATTATGTAAAAATAAACAAGTAAATACTTGACATCATTTAAATTGTGGGCCCTGAATCTACAATCTATTAAAGTTTAACTTTCTGAATGGAATGACGGAAATAAATAAACTTTTCCATGATATTCTAATTTTTCGAAAGGGTCTGTATCTGCAGCTACAGACAGGCTAATACCTAAGATATAACAATAACGCCTTATGAACTCTGTTAGGACAACAACCAGATGCAAGATTGAAACAACTTTAACATTTTTCATCTTTCCAAATTCAACTTCTCTGATTTAACAAACATTATACATAGAAAGTTCACCTCAAAGTACTGCCAACAATATTTTAGTTATAGCATCAATTCTGTTGAACCCAAATGAAAAACTACTTCTCTTTACCATGAATGAACCCAACAGCAGCAGTCAGGTGCATCTCAAAGCAATCCAAAGTGACAAGCTTTATTAAAAAAATACAAATAGACAAAAAAATCAGCTAATAATGTTATTTACCATGGTGTTGACATTACTGGATATAAAGATCAGCATTTGTTCAACTGCGATTTGTTAAAGCTCCTGCAAGGTACATGTTTTGTGTTTCTTTTGCGCCCCCTCTGGCAAAAGATGATGTCTCTTACACCTGTAACAGTATTTGCACTGGAACAAGTAAATGCAATGCTCCCTCTTGAGGTGTCATACACTAAAGACCCACTTCCCCAAGTTCTGGACAGCGACAAAGATTAAAAGTTGAATTTTAACAAGAAATGAGTTCATATACATGATTTATATTAACTGACCTAGGAACAAAGGAATCAATTGGAATCAACCTCAGGATAAACCAGAGCTGATGTAGCAAACAGTTCCAACTAAGAAGTTAAATGCCTACAACGAGAAATCAAGGACACAAAAACACAGTGTCTTACTTTGCTGACTAACAAGAACAGGAAGCAATATTTAAAAAACAAACTTGGCTTACTTAATCATTCAAAAACCAAACAAAAAAAGACATACTGAGCGCAAAGGTCTAACACAGCAGGTTGGCAGAAGAAGGAGATGGGATTCGCATGACTTCATCTTCTGATAGGGGAAAGACCTCTTGAACAACCTGCCAAACTAGAGACTTACAATCACTGCAGAAGATGGAACCTATTTATGAGGTAGAGGGAGACAGAAACACACAAAGGCACATCCAACACGAGCACTTAGGAATAAAATTTAACAAAAAAAGACATTAAGACCTCAGTTGGAGGAACTACACATTAATGCTATTTAAACCTCGATGTATTTGACTTGTTCATTATCTAAAAAAACGAACTTTTACATTTCTCTGCACCGAAAAGTTCTTCCTGAAGATTTTCTTAATGTTAAATAAGTTTATTCACAGGGTGACAGCTGGCGAACTCTGTCTGGTTTGTATTCTCACAGTAACATTCTCTCATTTTTGAAAGCACAATACCGCCATCTTTTTTTGGACAGCTTTCACACATCAACCAGCATAAGAAAAATATGCACATTTTTCCAGCCATTGTCAAATAAAGCAGTGCTTTTGATCTGAAATAAATACATTGATTACAGAAGGGAAAAACCTAGTTGCTGTTGTATTATTCTTTATTCTAAATACAGATCTAATGTTATGACTTGTGTTGTACACTTATGCAAACACAACGTCACAAACACTCAACCATCAAAACACAATGTCTTGCAACCAATCGTTCTTCAGTATTTATTTTTGACTTTTTGGTACCCTGAGCACTTCAAACACTGTATGTCGCTGTGCATATCATTTTACAGGGAAAGTCCAACAACGGGTTTAATTACAGCTTCAAACACCCATTCAAGCAGCATTTGATGTACACTTCCAAATTTGTCCCACAGTGTGTGTTTGTGTGCATGTGTTTATGTGTACATGGTCATATCTACTCCCAACCAGGTCAAAGGTGGAAAAAGTTCTGGTTCAAGCCAACAGATGACTGATGGACTCCAATCAGAGTCTTTATTTGAAAAAGGTATATGGGTCTGTGCATGTGGGGCACACAGGAGAGGACTCATATGTAACCCTGTCTGTTCAGCACCAGGCCTCCTCATTCCAGCTCTGCAGTCCCCTGCACTCAGACTCAGCCCACATTTCACAGGAGGGGCACAAAATGTCTCTGGAAACGCTTTCAGGGTTTGAGGCCTCACTTAGTGTTGATTTTAATTGAGCACAAGTATGTGTGTGTGTTTGATGTATGTGGGCGTGTGCTCTCTCTTTTGGGATTGTGAACTAGTGCACTTGGTTGTGTGTGTATTTCTATGAATGTGTCCCAAATGTTGTCCTTTTAGATCATAAGGGATTGTTTGAATGTTCATGTGTTGTTTTTGTGACTCTAAAACTCAGCCGCAGACAGAAAAAAGATATAGAGGTATGTGAGATTTTGCATGTATAATTAACAAAATATCCATTATTTTTGCCTCATTTAATGTACCTGCCGTCAATGTAGCATGAAAATGAGAGAAATGTTAAAGATAAAATCAATCTTAATCAATACAGGTAGCTAGATCAGTGGCATCCTAGCCTGTATTCCTTTTTGTGTATGATTATATATGTGTAGACATCAATGATACACAGTTCATGTAACCACATGTTCTTTAATGTTTAAGGGAGGTTTTCACTCATTAAAATAAGATTTTGCTGCTTTGCTTTAACAGAAATTTACATAAGGGTTGTCAAACAATAACTTTTTTTAATTAATCGCTAACTTTGAAGAGTTATTTGCAGTTTCAATCATACGTTCTAAATTGCCTCACTTTGTATTTCTAAACATTTTTTTAAGTTCCTGTGAGGAACCTTTGGTTTGTGTCAACATCACTGCCCCCAATGGACAAAGCAGCCTTTGCTTAACTTGTCCATGAATGCTTAAGTCGTCTCATTTGACCAATCATTCAGACTTTTGACAGGCAAATTTAGTTGTTTCTTCTGCTGACATCCACCGTCACACACAAGTTTCAGACATTTAAAAACTATAATAATCTAATAAAAAAATCTCAGTGTTGTTGCTGATGGTCTTGTCTGCTCGTACATATCATTAAATAATGTCACTTTGAATTTCAGCCTATATCATCAATGTCAAAAAAACTCCACACAGGAGCTTTAAGTCCATATAGTAATATAAAACAATGCAAACCAGTATTATTCAAAGAACGCTGAATCCTGATTCTGAGGTTAGGGGCAGCTTCAAAGTGTGTATTCCGTGAAATACAGAGTTATTTTCCATCACAGAAACATAAAAAGGAAGCATGATGCTATTGCAGCCTGACTGAGGTGTGCTTAAAGGGAAAAATGGCACACCACTGAAGAAAAAGCCTGAACTTTGGACCCTAATTGCATCAAAATTAACACATCAACACCAAGACCTCTAATAAATAACTTTCCTATTTGGCTGCAGTGACACTGAGCTCAAATGGAGCTTATTCAAAATTAAATGATACATAAAGACCATTTACTCCATGTCTGTATTTTGCATGCTATTTATACATAAGAAATGTTATGATAACTACATTTGTGGCCAGAAATGCAGAAAAAGAGGTCATTTTTGCAGAGTTGCTAGATAAATTGGTGGAAGGGTAATTTTCTGGCTGATGACAAAACTTCCTAAAATTGTAACAGCTAGAAAGCTTTCAAGAAAAAAATGCCTTTTAACCCACACCAAAATACACACAGGTGCATGGGTGTTTTGGAAACCCTATTATAATATGTGTCAGAAAGAAAAGCTTTCATTCTCACTTGTTGATGGCACGATGAAAAGCACATTTTCTGGCAGTCTAAGTTGATATATCTGCAAATAACACAGTAATCTCCCCATGGCCGGCCAAACATGCCTGTGTTTACTTGCTTGTCCCACATAAAAGAGCAGCTCAGTCATTCGCTCTTATACACAAGCAAAGGCAAACATTCCCTTTATTGTGCAGACTCTTCTCTTTCTCCTTATTTTATTTTCCCTTCCTCTCTGAGCCCAGGAAGGGCGCACTCACACACTCACCCCGGAACAAGCCTGGAGGTCTTTGGACCACACACAGAGCATCTCAAAGATCTCTCTGACTCTTTTTCTCCTGTCCTCCCTCCCTTCTTGTCTTTTTTCCTGTTTCAAATCATCACTCATTTCAATCATACCCTCTTTGTCATATTTCTCTCTCTCTCTCTTGTTCCATATTTCACCTTGTCTGAGCCCAGCCTGACAAAGTACAGGTTGTGTGGCCATTGTTTCATATCTGTATCTCCACTCCAGCAGTGCGTTCTGCTCCCTCTATTTGTTTGAATGTGTTGATGTGAACTGTAGAGAAGATGGTCACTTGGTATGATATTTATGCCTGTGAGACCACCCAGCCAGCTGGGCCAAGACACAGGGAGCTGGGGCCTTATTTTTCAACGCCTCCACTGTTCCCAGGGCCTCAGAGCTGAATGAGATTAATCCCTCTCTGTCACCAGTATGAAGGATTATGACGCAGCTTGGACAGGATAGTCATTTGTGTAACATCCAGGTGAAAGACAGGATGTGCAAACAGACTGTGTCTTTTGTATTGATTAAGCGGGGAATAGAAAGATAAGTGCGAGTCACATGAGGCAGGATTTGATAAAGTGATTCCCTCTAGTGGTTACAAAAGAAAAGTCAGGATAAAAAACTGAACTCTTTTAGTAAATCCCTAGTACAAGGCAGGGAGTCCAAATCTGCTGTACTTGAAACTACTGCAAGGAACTTTTACGGGTATCATTCAAACTCAACCAGCGTTAAATATCAACATATATGTTTAAAGGAGGTAAAGAAATTGTAGACTGCATTAAACATAGATGTACTCTCACTGACATCACTCCCTGGTTTCTAAAGTGGAGATCTGAAGCCTGTTTGGAAAGGATGATTCAGCCAAACTTCAGCTGACTGAGCATGAGACGAAAAGTTAAGGTAAGCCTTTAGCCTCCATGCTTAAAGATATAACATGCCTCTCTTTTGGTCAGCTCAGCCATGCCCCAGTCCTGCAAAACTTGAAACTTTTATATCTTCTAAACTAAGTCATAATGTAAGATAACCCCCCATACAACATAAGCAGAGACAGAAATTAGCTTTCATGTTATAAACACCTTCATTTCACCATCTCTGTGAAGATGGTCTTATTTGAATGGTTGTGTATATGGCTCCCACAGCCATTCTAAAGTGAACATCCTAGGGACTACGATTTTTAGCATTATGACAATAGGTTTCATTTTTCAAGACCAGTGGTTGCTTTAGCAGTGTTAAATAGTCAGTAGAACTTGTCAAATATGAACCACTTACGGTTAAAACAGCTCTCAATGTAATAAACATGAAGTTATCTCTGTTTAGCCAAATGCTTAGCTAGTAACAAAAACAACTGAAAAATTGTGCCTCTGTTCCTTGAAATGATAACAGCACAACAAATTGCAGCTGAAAGTTTGGGCGGAGAATTTAATTAGCGTAGTCTTCTATTAGTTTAGGGATGAAGTTTTAATCTCTAAACTAGCCAACAGTTGGCAAAAAAAAGGAAAAAAAACATCATGGCTAGAAAAAGTGATCAAAGCACTTAAATGTAAACCAAGCAGCTATAATATTAACAACAGGCTATATGAATGTGTCCAATTCTAAATATGCAATAAATACAAGACATATGAAGTGTCCACGACACATACAAGCATTTTTGATTATTGTCTCAATCCAGTCCTTTTGTCTTATTGCATTTAATCAAAGTTAGCTTCATTTTTCTTGTCACAGGCAGTGGCAGCTGGTAGAGATATAGGTAGGATTCAAGTTTTGGGGCGTTGCTATAACTACTTCTATTTGGGCACCTGCCATTAGAACAAGATCACTTTCAAGACCCTTATGTCGTCCTCTATCCAGTGTTTGCTGTTCATGTTGGCCTCCACTTTTGCTTTGCTTTGCCTCAAGCTAATACCGTGGCAATGCTATTATCAGGACATTGGCCCCTCAGACCACTGAAATCCTCAGTTTTCCCACTGAAGTACGTCCACAAACCACTTGAAAAAGAGAATTAGTGTCAAGACAGGTGAGAATGAATAAATGAACAGTCAACCTAATCAAAATGGATTCCCGTCCCCTTATGTAAGCGGTAAAAAGTTCATTTTGGCTTCTTGAAGGAAGTATAAAGACACATGTGTCCTTGACCTGGTTGGCCTGACATGGTGGCTGATACTGTGGATAAGGAGGTCTGAGCATCGTGTTGGGTGGCACCATGTGTGAGCATGGGATTTACAGTGTCTCCAGACCACACACACACACACACACACACACACACACACACACACACACTTAGAAAGAGGGAGCGATGGATGAAGGAAGAAGGATAGAGGGGAATTAAGCAAAAGAGAGAAGAGAAAGATAGAAATATAAAAGAGGAGAGAGATCTGGGGAAGTTGGTTGTACCAGCTGATGTGTGTGATGCGCATATACAAAGCCCCCAATGCCAGCTAAACTGTTTGGTAGATAAAATCACTTCAGAGAAGCCAACAATTTAAGAGCAAAATTACACTTCTCTTCCGATGATCATCAGATTAAAACAGATGGGTAAAATGTACATCACGGCAAATAAAGCTGCTCAGAAATGGAAACATATCACAAGCATCACAGCATGTTTAAAAGTCTGAAAATTATTTCTACATTGACTTCTCATATTGGGTTTCATTGTTGTGTTTCGTTCGACACCATGATTTCAACATGTTCATATTTACCTCTATGTAAAGTATATGCCTCGAAACATCTAATGGAAATTTTCTATACAAAAAAGGTGTTCCACAAGGATCAATTGTGGGTCCCACTGACTTTAAGAATAATATTTAAATGAATATGAAATTTTTCAAAAGCCAACTTTGTACACCTTGATACAGATGATAACATTCTATTTTAAACTTCAATGATTTTAAGGCATGAAAAACTATATTGATCATGTATAAATAACTAAATGACAAACAAAAGGCTGTGCTACATTATGCTGCCTTTCAGAAGCACTAGTTCACCAAACTGAGTGTATGGATCTTTTTCTCCATAGTCTACTGTGGGAGGACAGATCTCACACTACAATACCACTGAAAGATTTAGATACTATATTGAACAGCATTAAAGAAATAACACAGAAAGATGGAAAAATTTTCAAATATGCCAATAAATACAGACTTGTATATCTTTCGAGTTAGACCCTCAGTGCCTTGTGGGACCTTTCTCTGTGATTCACTGTAAAGTTTTCCAGCTCTGACTCGAGTTTAGGGGAAGTGCAGTGCAGCCATGAAGGAGAAAGCAATGTGTGCTAAATGGTCCATGGCTCGTCCGGCCTCTGCAAGCCCCTCTGGACCCCATATGGTGAATGTGTGTGTGCTGCATGCATGGACGCATGGCCTAGCCCTTGGCAGGACTGCTCCCAACTGGATAACATCCCATAAAACCCTGACACACACACATAAGGGCACTATGCATACCTATGTTAAAAAACACCTGATACCGTTTAATATCATATGTGACATATATCAGACTATTATCAGATTTATGCTGTTTTCTAAGGGTATTTTTTTGTTTTGAGTGGACATGTAAAATACCGACAGCATGCACAGAGTTGTAGGCTTGCACTCAAATCTAATCTAATCTGATGTAAACAAATTCCTTTCTCACATTTGTATACATGAACTCAAACAGTAGCTCGCCTTTTAGCAATTTTAATAACCCTTCCCTCCCAACAAATCCTGCAAACAAAATACTTCAAATGGAGACAGCATGTAGCCTTGTCTCCACTTGTCTCTTGCAGGAGCTGAACTACTACAGACACCATGTTGTACTCCCCCAATCCTGATTGTGAAGTGGGGAATGAAGGGGAACATAATTGCATGCTTAAACGCCTGAGAAACGGACGTCCAGTTCTGCTGAGCTGGTGCTTTTTGTGTGGCCTCATTGTTGGGACGTGCAGTCATGCAGCTCTTTTAGTCTCTGTTGGTGCTCATGTTGGGTTAGGGGTGGTTCAGAAGAGTGGAAGAGGGGAAATATTGTCTCGCAGCCTGGCAGGAGGAGGAATCAGAGGCTCTCAGCTCTTTCTGTTGCACTTCTGTCCCATGGTCTACCATGGCTGTTGTCGGCCATTTAATCAGCAATGTTTAGAGCGCCTGTGGAGCCTTTGATAACTCGACACGACCTACACAAACACAAGGATGCACACATCACATGCACATGCATGCACAGACGCCACAGTGTTATCTTTTCTGCTTGATGTACTTAGTGTGACCAAAGTAGCAGAACAAAAGGCTCCTCTACAGGGCTGCAGTGTAATGAGGACCAGTTTGATCGTAAATATGTTGCTCTGCAGAGTTTTCCATCTCACTGCAGGACAAAAGGAACAGGCCATCAAATTCGGGTCATCAGAGGCTTCTACGTTGTAAATCAACTCACTGAGCAGATCAGTTGTGTCATCACGGGCTGTCTGTGGCCTCAAAGTGGTCAACAGAGGGAGAAGGCAGGATTCCCCCGGCACAGGTGACAGTGAAAGTAACAAGTGACAGAAAAGAGGCAGAACAAAGCAATAAACAAGTGGTTTCCTAAATTCTTGTGGTTATGGGGAGAAGTCAGGAGGTACCCAATTAAGTATGCCCTGTGTGTAACAAAGGGCCTCAATGAAAGAGGAGAGGAGGGAATTATAACAAGTAGTGTGGGAGTGAGAAAATCTGGATAATGTTCAAGACTGCTCAGAAAAGATTCAAAGTTTGTACAACATAACCAAGCAGCACTTATGTTCTCCAGCCCTGCTGAACAGACACTTTTTACAGTGACTAGCGCTTAATCCCTGGAAGAACCTCTTGAATTTCTGAAGATGATAGATAAGACAAAGACTTGATTAGGACTGCTGTTGACATTTTTCTAGCAGAAACCAATGGACAGTCATACAGCCTCTGCATGTACAAACAGAGTTGTTGATCACATCTCTTTTAGCACAGACTTATTTACGCTGAACCTCTCTAAAGTAATAAATGGGGACAAGGGGTCATCCCAGTAGGGACAATCCAATTTAGTGAAAAACAGGATGGTTCATGACCCCTTCTGTGTCCCATCTGTTAACACTGGGGTCAACTTTATGGCCTACACTGCAGCCAGTCTCCTAGGGGAGTTCTAAAAGTTTTAGCTCAACTTTGAGGAGATGCTATGTTGTCCATTTATACAATCTTTGGTCTTAAACAGTATGATTCATCATCTTAGATGATAATCAATCTGTGGTTCATTGATTTTTTAAATGTCGTGCCATTCAGATACAACTGTTTTCCATTTCTTTAAAGAGAAGACACACTGAAACTAAAACATGAGCTATTAAGAACCTAATGAAGTGGATAGGACAGCATGTGTATGGGAAAGCAACAGACTACAAATGAAAGGAAAAATTAAGCTTGAATTATCAACCTACTTTTCCATGTCTGCAATCACGGCTTATGAAGTTGAAACTGTCATTTTTGGCAGTGCACTAATTGCTTTTGGCCGGGAGTGGACCCTCTGACTCATGAGAGAGACATGGTGGAACACAGATGGAGTGTTTCCGAAGCTCCTGAGAGTGGCACAAGACCGCCATTCAGGTCTGTGATTATGACCAACAACAGAAGTTTGGACTGGTCCAACACTATGTTTTATTCAGATCAAACATCAATACAGGCAAATTAATCTGCAAGGGATTAAAGCAATGGCTGCAGGAAACACTTTGTCTAGAGAAATACACTTTACAATCTGCCTAAGTCAATCCAGGTGGGACTTTGGGGAGCCAAATTTCATGGCGGATGCAAACTAATGCACCCTCCTGACCTGATTAGAATCAGTTATGAAATATTTCCCTTTTAGTCTATGAAGATTATTTACAAAATGTAATTAAATTGACCCTTCTTAAGGAGGAACTTTGTAAAATGACATATTATAGTATCTGTTATAAACATCACTATCTTTGCCATAAACGGCACTTGACTACATTTACACCTTCTTTTCCTTTTTTTTCATTTCTTGGTAAGGCGAAATATCAGCATTAAATACTATTTCAATGTGGTTTTGAATTAAACTTTCTAGCTTTTTACAAATGTTAAATCTTTCCCGCTCTGATATTGACATCTTGACTGAGTGATTTGTCAATACTTTTGAGTTCTTCTTTAAGAAGAGCTAAAATGACACGTTTGGCTGTTTAATCGATGGATAGATAAATAGATAGATAGATAGATAGATAGATAGATAGATAGATAGATAGATAGATAGATAGATAGATACTTTATTAATCCTAGAGGGAAATTCAAATTCAGACTTAATTGATCAGACTTTTTTTTACAAAGCACTTTTTATAAATAAACTATGTAACACAAAGTGCTGTACATAAAAAAGGAAAATAAGTTGTAACCCCCCCCCCATGAGTGTTGTCCTGGTTGAGCTGTAAAAAGTTCTCTGCCTTGCATGACTTCATATTTAAAATACAGTTTAAAAGGGTATTAATTGGCCCTCAGGAGACATGAGAATATAGAGCTGTAAGTCATCTGCATAGCTGTAGAAGTTGATGTTATGCTTCTCGTGACATTTCCAAGTATTAACACATCATCGTTAAAAATCATAGGACCTAAAATTGACCTCTGAGAGACACCACAACTAATTTTGTATTGTCTAGATGAGATTGTAAGTTGATATGTGATGAATAGCTTTTTTTCTTTGTGACAAGATTTGAAATTCAGGAATGAAAACTTGACAGCAACAAAACAGCTAAGCATACAATTTTTTTCAGACCGAAACATGTAACAATCACATTTTGATTAAGTTCAAGGCCTGTTGCAGGTTTTGAATGACCTATTGTGTCTTTTTGTGCCAATTTTTTTCCGAAGTTTGTCTCAGCAGTAGATATATGGGGTAACTTTGAAAGGTTCAAGACAACAGAACAATTGCTCTGAAAATCAAGAGTTTTTCTTCCAGAAAAAACTCCCACAAATCTCACTAGAGAAGTATAGGCTCAAATGACGATCGATGGAAACTTCTTATCTGCAGCCTCTGATTTATTTACCTCCACTGTATCTGCTTGAGTGCTAATGCATTATTGTTAATGAAGCTAGAGAAGGCCCTTGTGGTTCAGTGAAAGAACAAGTGTGTGAGATCTAGTGTAGTATGTAAACCGTTTGACATCAGTGTTTGGGCCTTCTTTATGAGAACATCTGCGGCAGCTGCCCTATAAATTCCCAGCGTTGAGAAAACAGGAACAAAAAGTTCCATTTTTGTATGGCAGTGTACCATGGCAAGTAGCGGACCCAGTCGTGCCTCATCTGGAGCACCATGGCCAGCGTTTAGGGAAAGTCAAATCAGGGATGTAGAACTGAGACATGGTTGCTGTGTGTTTACATGTCTGTTCTGCATAGCAACAGACCTCAGAGTGAGCTTATTTATGGCAAATCCAGAGGACAGACAAACCAACGTGTACAGTGTGATTTGACTTTATTTCTACGACCATCTAGTCCCAAGTTTTTAATGTGTAAATAACTTCCTATCTTTAACTTCAGCCTTGATTTTTGTGTGCATATACAGTATATGTGTCATTCTGTCAGTTCCAGTAGTCTCTTGCTCTCTGCTCTCTACAGCTCATCCTTATTTTTTGATTACTTAAGATTTGTAAGATGAAAAGTTTGGGTTATTTGAACTGTTATTTATACACCATTAAGGAAATGATGTAAGTTTTTGCTTTTGGAGAATTCAGTGGGCATTTCTACTCTCTTACAGTTGTTTTTTGTTGCTCTACTGTCATTCCCTTTCTATTCCACAACATCTCAGCTTCAATCTCTTCTTCTCTCCTTCTGTCCCCCTCTCTTTGCATCTTTTCCAGACTTTAGCTGCTACATGGGAATAAAGCGGCAAATGACAAAAAAACTGCTTTCAAAACAAGGTCAGAGTTCATATGTCAAGGCACTTTAATACTATATAGATGCATGTTTGTACTGCTCAAATGCATGTAAGACTGACATGACACCCAAAGACAGTGAGTTCGACAGTAGCATAATAACATTTATACAAAAAGGGCCACCTGCTATTTTCAGTCATCCCCCTGATTTTGAAGGAGTGGTGCAATCTCTTGTCTTCACAAATATAGGTGTAACATAAGCTTTGAGTCAAATTCTGTATATTTCCTGTATAGAGTATAGCATATGCTGGTATCTGGTTACAAAAGGCTAAAAACACAAGAGCCTAATATAAAACCATATAGGTGAATCAAATATTCAATCACAACAATAATGATAAGTAAAGGGATTTAAAATATATACCATATCATGAAAATACAATGAAGTTTTCAAAAAACAACCAGTACTATTTCAGATAATTAATAGCACTTGTCTCCAATACTAAGAATTGTTTAGGCTAAACTCAGATTTTTTTTTTTTACACAAACAAAATAAAAGTTTCAAGTGCCCCAAGCAGAGGCTGTAATATGTATTTTTCTTAAAGACCACCCTCTTGGGCAACTTTTGTTTTTTAAATGGCTATCTCTTCCTACAGTGGCTGAGAACTGCCACTGCTGCAAATAAAAAAGAATGCAAAAAAAGAAGTCACAACAATAGTTACCGATAAAAAAAAGAAACCAAGCCCGCTGCAAATAAAAAAGCAGTGCAGATTAAAAAAAAAAAGCCACAATGGAAGTTAATGACCTAAAACAAATATGGCGATGGAAAAAAAAAAAAAAACAAATGACAAATTGAAAAGCACACAAAGCGAAATTAAACAATAACCTTTCCACTTACTTTTTGCTTGTCTTCACGCCGTCGTCCTCTGTGCTTAGATCATAAAACACCGGTGCATCATTAATACTGGTCCCCGTCAGCTCACTTCCATTGTGGCTTTTTTTATTTGCATCCTTTTATTTTAACAGTAAGTAACTTTTTTTTTTCATCACCACTTATTTTTGCTTCATTTACTTCCACAGTGTCTTTTTTAACTGTGCCATTTCTTTTTTTTATTTGCAGTGTTTTTTGTTTTTTTTCAGCAGTTGCGGTTCTCGGCCACCGTATTTTCCCCCCTTCTATGATTTCTCTGTAAAAGTGAACATATAAGCATCCTTATACATGTAAGCGCGATATCAATGTTTGAGTTTTAACAAGGAGAGTAAAGTTTACCGTCACCAGGTTCCTCACACAGTTAAGTGCCTCAGATTTTAAGGAGCACTTTCGACACAAAGGTGTATTTTTTCAACAACTGCAACGATGAAGCACAAAGCAGAAACAATATGTCCATATTTTATTTAGTAATATATATGTGTTTTAATTTGATGATTTAAGTGATTTTTAGATGTTTTTTGTAGCAGACTATGCATGCTTCGAAAGTGCGATACCGGTTGTTAAAATACATAAACATTCAACAAGCTGCTGTGTGGCTGTCTGTGTGTGTTTCTTCCTTTTTCATCGATTAATCAACCAAAATGCGAGGAAAAGTAAAAGCGGCTGACCTCGGGGGACTTGAAGTAGACACGCGAACCGAGGTTTTTAGATAGTTTGTTTTCAATCGTTGTCTTTTGCTCGTCTCTTGGAAATGTTGTCCAAGCTAACAAGCTAGTTAGCATGGTGCTGTGATTTCTGCACAGGAGAAAGTGGAGACCCTCGCTGCATCCTGATGGCTGCAACTTCTGTGGACGGAAAAGGTTTAAACTTTATGTTTATCTTAAATTCTTACCAAAAGTTTCTACGTCGGAAAGTCGTGGTAAAATAACATTAGATACCTGTGTTCAGCTGGCGTTCAACATTAGCAACCAAATGATAAAACAAATAGGATGCAGTATTATTAAAGTTCACCCAAACCCCTCTTTTAGAAGACTTGTTAGTGGAGATTTTCGTTCTATATCTTTCCAGTCCATTAAAATTTGTCCAATATATGCGTCTATAGACTGAAACACACCTCACTTACATCCAACCCATGTCTCTGCTTTGCTGAAACAAGTATTGTAAAGTTTTAGATGTCTATTGTTAACTAGTATTTTGTTTATCATCCAATAGCAACATGGCATGAGGGTGATAGATGTTTGGCCCCTGACCCAAGAGATGGCAGCCTGCGAGAAGCCACCATCAGTAGACTGACCTCCACTCCTCATGAGAAAGAAGATGACACAGCATGGGTGGTTTTCAATGATGATGGTAAAAATGAAGAGGAAGAGGAAGCCGTTCCTGTCTCCAAACTCGTGAGACCAGACCTGAATCACTTCAACCAGGAGAAACCTGTTTTTCCCAGCAGCATCACAGCCCCCAGATCGTATGTCCCGCTAGAGCTGAGTGATTTCGAAGGAGACAGTGTCCCCTACACCATCAACAGATATTTGAGGGATTACCAGAGGGAAGGCATTAGGTTTATTTACAACAACTATATCCGTTCCAGAGGCTGTATCCTTGGGGATGACATGGGTCTGGGAAAGACTGTGCAGGTACTTACTACAGTCTTTTGTCAGATTATTAAATGCCAACATCTTTCTTCATGAATTTTTCTCCCTCTCTCTCTCTATTTTCTTCCACCACCCTGATCCTTCTCAAGGTGATTGGTTACCTCGCTGCTGTGTTGCACAAAACAGGCACTTGGGAGGACGTTGAGAACAACAGGCCTCAGTTTCTGCAAAGTCAGAAGCCCTCCAAGCCACGTAAACCCAACAAAGTGCGTATTGATATATCCTGTGCGACTTTCATAGTGAAATATTTAAGGAACGTCTGGACAAATGAAAAAAATTACATCAGGTAGATTCAATTAACAGTGCTATAGTGTTAAAGCACTGATTGTTTTCATCTGCATGTTTTATTGTCTCTATGATTCGCTTTAGGTGTTTCTCATCGTGGCCCCACTATCGGTTCTTTATAACTGGAAAGATGAACTGGAAACATGGGGCCACTTCCAGTGTGTAGTGGTCCACGGGTTGAAAAAGGAGGAGGAGCTGGCTCGCATCAAGAAGGGTCGCACTGAGATTGCGCTCACAACCTATGAGACTCTGCGTCTTTGTCTGGATCAGTTTAACAAGTAAAAAACACGCCCAAAACGAATTCATTCACAACATGTTTGCTGAATGCATGTAGCTTATTTATTATTCCAAATGATAGATACTTGGTTTCTGTAACAGTATCTTTTTACATAATTTAAAGGCATGACAGTAAAAGAATACATTTGCTCCACCTGCAGCATAGACTGGTCTGCTGTGATTGTGGATGAAGCCCACAAAATAAAAAATCCAAACTCACAGATCACTCAGGCTATGAAGGATCTGACATGTAAGGTAAGTTTGTTTGTATTATTATATCAGTATCCTATTGCTGGGATGTAAACTGACAATGTTCATCAGTAAAAAACTGTAAAGTATGCACACACACCCATTTCTGTACTATAGAGGCTACATTAAGTTATGCACTTATCATAAAAGCTGCATAAAAACAAAGCTGTAGTTTACACAAAGTCCATATTTTACAGCTTATCTATTTTTTTCACCAGATCAGAATTGGCCTCACTGGTACCATCTTGCAGAACAATTTGGAGGAGCTGTGGTGTGTCATGGACTGGTGGGTTAAGAGACATTTCTTTTTTAAATCATAAGACATCTGTCATGTGCAGATTTACTATTACTTGATTGTCATCGGTGTTTCTTAAATTCATTTTTAGGGCCATCCCTGGGTGTCTTGGCAGCCTGGGACATTTTAAGAATAAGTTTTCAGATCCAATCGAGCAAGGGCAGAGGCACAGCGCGACCAAACGGACTCTGGCTACAGGAAGGAAGGCTGTCAGAGCCCTGGTGAAGAAGATTTCCCACTTTTTCCTCCGAAGAACTAAGGGTCTCATCAAGGATCAACTCCCGAAGAAAGATGACAGAGTAAGATTCATGAAGATTCTTAATGTCTGAATGAAGGTTTATGATGTCAGACAACACCTGTAAAACATCCTGTGTTTTATGTTTCTTTGTAGGTGGTGTATTGTTCTCTCACAGACTTTCAGCAGACTGTGTATCAAACCGTGTTGGACAGTGAAGATGTGACATTAATGCTGAGGTCTTCAGAGAAATGTGACTGTCACAGTGGACGCACTCGCAGACGTTGCTGCTATTCAGTTAGTCCAACCCTTTAACCATTTTGTACTGATTGTGTGATTTAGGTGAATTTGTCCTTTAAGTACATCACTGCTACTTTTGTAATAATCATTTGAACACAGTGTATGCCAGTGAAAGGAGAACTACAGAGCTATAAGTTAATATATTTCTTTTAATTTAGACGAATTCCAGTGGTGTACAAATAAAGACGCTCTACTTCAGTTACTTGGCTATACTGAGGAAGGTTTCCAGCCATGTCGCGCTGCTTCAATCCACTGCAGGCACCAGCAAGAAACAGGTAAGCACATGCTTCCCATTAATTCATCCAGAAATCCTGGTCAAATGCAGGTCATGTGACATGATTAAATGACGGATGTTGTCGTCTATAACAACCCATTTGTTTCTCTTAGGAAAAGTACATTGGAGACATTTGTAAAAAAGTGTTTCAGAAGTTTCCAGAGTTTGTGCAGAGGTGCAAAGATGAAGCATTTGAAGCTTTATCCGACCCGATGTACAGTGGAAAGATGAAGGTACGCATTTTAAAGAGAAGGCCCTGTCATTTTCTTATCGAATACTGTTCAAGTGTCTTAAACAAACAAATCTGTTTTCTTTTTCAGGTATTAGAGAAGCTGCTGAAGTTTTATCTGGGAAAGAGGGATAAAGTTCTTCTCTTCTCTCTCTCAACCAAGGCAAGAGCTTTTTTTTTTTTTTTCATTGGTGCTTATAGACCTTTTTTTTTTGGGTGCGTGTAATTTCAGATGTACGCTGTGTAACCTCAAAGTGATGAAAGGAATATGATGCCAGAGTGAGAGTATGCTCACTGGTCTTAAAGCTTTGCAGCCAGCCACATCCAGTCAGCCTTTCAGCACAAACATATTTTTAGATGGCACTGCTGTAGGAGTAGATGACTTGTGTGCATAGAAAATGGTAGCATGAGGTCTTAATCACTCATGACCAATAGGGAATCTCAGGGATTTTGTAAGCGAATGCAATTTGAGGTGAAAAGATAATTAGCTTTGCAGAGATGTTACCTGAGCCTGTGTGATAACATTTTTGGCTCTTATGAGGTCATATTTTGATGGCTTATGTTTTGCTTTTTTTGAAATCATAGAATCCATACAGTTTTGATTGGGCTTCGTTTGACCCCTGTGGTCTAACCGCAAATATACGACTAAGGGGATATGCTGTTTATTTTTCATTAAATGTGTTTGTCTAGCATTCACATTATGAACCTTTTGAGCATACTTTTCACACTTGAGAGTTGATTCACATTGAAGATGAGAAGATTTTCATTGTTTATTCTTTTTGTGTGTGTTATTTTGTCTTAAATCAATCAGCTATTAGACGTGCTGGAGAGCTACTGCATGGCGGCAGGACTGGACTACAGCAGGTTGGATGGAGCCACTAAGTCAAAAGAGAGAGTCCAGATTGTCAAAGACTTTAACAGCTCCCCTCACATCAACCTCTGCTTAGTTTCCACCATGTGAGTCAGTAACAGTCACAAGTGCGTGCGTGTGTTTTTCTTTTTAACATTTATTCTAAGCCATAAGTTTTTTGACATTTGACTCTTTACTCTTCCAGGGCGGGTGGTCTTGGTCTTAACTTTGTAGGGGCTAATGTGGTCGTGCTGTTTGACCCCACATGGAACCCAGCCAATGACCTCCAAGCTATTGACAGGTTTGTTTAAAGCCACATTGTGTATGATTTTACTCAGTATTTTGAAGTGTCTCATGCTAACGAAGGGTGTGTACCACAGAGGTATTCTTCTCTTGACACAGGAGTCAATGTAGTTAAAGATATTACTCGCCTTGTCATATTCCTTTTATTTTCTGACAGCCAACGTTTCACTCTCTGTTTGTACGATGACTATTTTGATACATGTTTTCTCAGGGCATATCGTATCGGCCAGTGCAGGGATGTGACGGTTCTCCGACTCATTTCACTGGGGACTGTAGAGGAGGTCATTTACCTTAGACAAGTATATAAACAGGTATCAGATAAATAGATAACCAAATGACGAAGCACAGATAATTAATGTTTTTGTTTATTGATATTATTTGTCACAAAATTGTCGCTGTTGTATAGTCGTCTGTGTAAAGATATGAACAGAAAAACACAAATGTGTCGGCTACGAGTGACACCTATTAATAACATTTGATGATTGCATAATACAATACAATTTTTGACTTGATTTCAGTATATGATCTCTGTCAGTCAGTGTCATTTAAATAACTTCTCTGTATCTGCCATCCATCTCAGCAATTGCAGAGCTCGGTTGTGGGTAAGGAGAGTGCACGGCGGTACTTTGAGGCAGTGCAAGGGCATGATGTCTATAAGGGGGAGCTGTTTGGGATCAAAAACCTCTTCAGGCTGCAGACCGAAGGAACTTGTCTCACCCGCATGATACTAGAGGTAGGAAAACCTAGATTTCCTTTAGCTGTTTTATTGATGATATTCCTCTGTAGCATACTGACTGAACATACCTGTCCAGTTGTTACTGTCACAACAAATGTCAAAGAAACCATTCAGCCAAACTTCAGTTTAAATTTTTTTTCTGCAGAGTTTTATGTGATTGCACTAATGTTTGGTATTTAAGGTTTAAGTAACGACCTTCAATTGTATTTCACTCTGAAATATATCCCTGTAAACATCAAAACAGTAGTCTCACTCAGTTGCAGTATCACCTAGTGCCAAAAGAAAAGTCAAAATATGACTTTTGGCAAAGTATTGGGATGATTTTGCCCCTTAAAGTTGTAAATTTTTTGATGAATGAATGTCTGTTTCTTTTCCTATCAGCGAGAAGGACAAGTGGAGTCTGGTGTGATGACTACCAGCACACACACAGGCGAAGAAAAGGAGGAGGAGGTGAAGGGAGCTAGCGTGAGTAACTCTGCCCTTCTCAGGGACCCAGAACACAGGGCACACATCTTTCCCATCCCGCAATCTATCTTCTCTCCCGGGCGGCCCACTCGTCCTCCCATTCCCATGTGAAAAAAAGGGGGCTACCTCAAACAGGGACCTTCCTGTCTGTCAGTCAACCTCACCAAAATTCTCTCATTAATTTTTTTCCGCCAAAGCTCTTTTTTTTAAGTGTTGTCTTAGCTCTGCTTTGTTTTATAGTTTTTCTAAAGTCCTGTCTTTTTTGAGTCTTTGTCAAAATGAAAGAGGATTCATTTGTGGAAGAAGCAGCCTCTGAAATGACAATATTATCCACAGGAAAAGCAAAGAGAAAGTTATACTCTCACTTCAGAGCTTATGGTCCTGTTTTATTATGAAACCCTTTCACTATCAAAATCCTTTGCATCCAATTTCAACAAGGCTGACCACAGCTTCTGTTCTCTGTCAGTGTGGAAACGAAGAGCTTTAACGGCAGCCCTGTAAGTTCAAAAGGCGTCAGTATGAAGAGCTTTTTAAAGAAACTCTTAATAAAATAGATTCAGGATGGAGGATCACTTTTTAGTCTTGGCTCCCAGAAAACTAAATGATGAGGTTCTCTTTCTGTCACTTTCTCTCACTTTGTCTCACATGCTGTGTGAAACAGCTGGATGCAATTACTCCCGTGTCCTAATGGAAGAAGCAGACCACACTGAAGCCTATCTTCTGCTTTTCAGATATTTATTTACACAGTGATATCCCTTATCATCCTGTTCCCAGCCAGGTCCTCTTTACAAGGCTGCTGCTCCACTGAGGCCAGTCAGATTCCTTCAAAAATACAGAATACACTGGGGTGCCTTAACACGCACAGACAGAGGCATGAGGCGTGTGAGCGCAAACATGCAGACAAGAACAGCCGGAGTGGAAAAGTGTGATCCAGTGTGCCAATTTGGTCAAATCAGACTCTCTGTTGGTGGTCGCTTGTATAGAGGTCCATTTGTGTGGCATCAGAAATGTTAGAAACTGTTTCTTTTCTCATGATGGAGATGCTGCATGCCACATAGGTATCTAAAATAATCTCAGACTAGTTCACTAAGACAGGGCCGGGGTGAAAGGGAGTGAACAGTGTTGAGTTTTGTTGCCAAATTCTTCTTAAACTATGTAAAGCCATAAAAGAAACCCTCCCATGATGCCACTTTTTATGCCATTCTTTCTCTCTTTTTAATTGGCTTGTTTTTGTGGTTTCTATTGTAGGAACTCGACCAACATCCCAGTACAGATCCCCCTGTAACAACTAATGAACCAGCCATAAAGGACAAAGACATGTCCAATGACCCTAAAGGGGTGCTGGACTTCAGCAGTGGGAGTGAAATGGATGAGGAGGAGCAGGGGCTAAAGAGGAAGGTGTCAAACCCCACTGCAATGGACTTGAATAAAGAGGGGAACTCTACGACTAGTCCTGGTCGGATGAGTCTCCTCCAGCATGGTTTCTCCAAACTCCTCGAAAGGGTTAAAGGAAAACCAGAGTCTTGTGAAGGGGACAGTAGTCCAGCTATCGAAGAAAGCTCATCTGAGGAAGATGATGCGGATAAAAAGAGGGAGGGTGTCTCTTCTATCTGCAAGAGCCCCAACACAGGAGAAGCAGCCTGTGTTACTAAAGTGGACAAGAAAACCCGGGACACAGACGAGGAGGATGGAGACGAGGAGAAACAAAAGAGGGTTTCTCTGTTGAAGCAGAGTGATGAAGCTGCAAGAAAGAGGCAGGATTTGAAAGAGAGGGTCGATAAGAGATCATTAATGTATGAGGAAAAGGACAAAAAGGACCATTACAAGCAGAAAGCAACAGTGTCCAGCGTGCACCAGGTAAAAAATTACTCAGATGAATCTGAGGATTTGGACATGGGGACAGTGATGAGGCCCAAAAGTGCAGCTTTAAATTCACACAGCAGACAAGGAGACCATCAGAAAGGAAGAAAGAGGCAAAGTGCAAGTGTCAGGGACAAGGCCAGATCCAAACACACAGAAAACATCGAGACATTCACATCTTCAGAAGATGAACACACTCCTGTGAAGAAAGGGAGGTCTACACAATGCTCCCTCAAGTCTCCACAGACAGAGAGATCCAGAGCTGGGCCCAAGAAAGCTGAGGAAACAGCTGGAACAAGCAGCAGGACAGAGAAAACAACAGAGACACCAAAAGCTGTCACATTTACAAATCTGAAAAGTCAAAGATCCCAGAACTCCAAAGGAAAGGATGGAACGATTGACACTGTGTTAGGTTAGAGTCTGTTTTTCTTTTTATTAATCGCCAATAGTTTTGGACACACTTCTTATTTTAATTATGTCCTTTATATTTCTGTTAAAGGGGGAGTACAGGAGGTGGTGTATACCCACTCTAACCAGCGAGTGGTAGGAGGTAGTAAAGCAGAGGAGCTGATCAGTAGAGCTGCTGTACGAGACGTGTTTGACCGCAAGATGTACTCTCAGCTCCCAGCCAATCACCTTTTAGGCACCCTGGAGGTAAAAACCGCCGTAACCATGGCTCCATAAACATTTGTCATCTTGTCACACGATATGCTCCAGCTACTATTGCGTGATTTGATGATCTTTGATTACGTCTGGATATCACAGATTAAATTAGTGTGTCAAATTAGATTTAGAAAAAAAATTAGAGGAATATATTTTTCCAAGAACTATCTCAGGGTTAAAGAGTAATCTACTGAGCTAGCGGTGTCATTCAGACCTGTATTCTGTCAAAGTTTGTCTGGCAACTACATGCTGGATTAGATTTGCCAGAACTTTATCAGAGACAGATGCTCACTACAAGATGACAGTTCATGTAAACACATCATCTTTTTGTGGATTAAATTATGCTCAATGGTGCAGAAGACCCACTGGTGTTGCTGCAGTGGATTTTACCTGTGTTCAGATCTATACTCCTCACTGCACCATGTTGATATGCACTATTACTTTGACAGTAATCTGTAAACTTGAGTTTGATCCTGTAACCTTTGTGGTCGGTCCCTATATAAAACTTTACTCTTGTTTGATTTTCTCAGAGCCTCTCAGAGAGCCCACCAGACAGTCCGCCGTACCCCTCGTCTGTCCGACTCGAGAAGCCCCGTGTGGAGCATCCAGTCACCTTCACCAACAAGAGTACACACAACACCAGACATACCACCTTCATCATCGGAGAGACTCCCCGGGCAATATGCAGGTAAGAAAAGAGAGTGAAAGGAGGTAAGGTGAAAGACAAGAAGTGGGGTCTCAGTCTAAAAGGCGACAGAAAGAACATGGGTGTATTGTACAAGTTGAGAAAATACTGATTTGCCAAGCTGTGGGTAAAAGAAGAAAGGTTTGTCTTGGAAGGCAAAACAGAGAAAAAGTAACGTTAGAGAAAGTGCCCCAAAAGAAAGGCCTGCATGAGAATGAACTAGACCAGAGGATGAAATAGGTAAGGAGGCTGAGAGACTGTAGTCAAAAAAGCTCAATTCCTGGCAGTGTTGGGAGGTCGGCCAAAAGCTCACCACAGACATGGTGTTGAGCGCCCCCACCTGGGCCTCAGGAAATGTGTGTAAGCCTATGTGTGCGTGTTTAGCAAAAGACCACCTCTGAGCTTTCCCTTCCTACTATTTCCCAGCATCATGCCAAAGATTACCCAGTTATATTCAGGCCCAACAGTGCAGACGTTTTCCCCTCCTCGACCACAGCCCTCCTGAGACAAACCAAAAAATGATCGCCTGAGGACTTCCAAACCCACACTGACACACACACACACACATACACACAAGCCCTAACAAGCATTTACGCACTCATACACAACAGAATACACACATCTGTCCTACTGCATCACCTCCGCCCCCTACCTTCCCAAACTCTCAGACACACAGACACCTCTGTGGCTCCAATCTCGCTCCCAAAGGGAAAGACTGCATCTCAGCCCAGAGACTCACCAGGGAGGGAAAACTCACACTAGTTATATTGATTTCCCCTCAATTAACCTCGCTGTTTAATGATTGAAATCCACATGCACGTCTGGTTTTACTGCCGCTGCTTTTATTTATTGTTTTTCCACTGAAAAGCCACAAACGATAATAACACCACCAAAATGCAGGCTGTAGCACCAGCGACTTTGAAGTATTTCTGTCCCAGATTCGGGTTAGACCAACATTTTAATGACTGCCTAGAAGCTCAGGAAAACACCTCATGCTGCCTGGATATCAGCCTGGATATGTGGAGTACATTCATCTCAAGCTAAGCTTAACAGACCCACAAAATATTAGATTAACATTATAGGCATTGTGGCTTTAGACATAGCTTACATGTAATTCAAAGTACTAAGTATGTTCACATGCTAAATCCTGACCTCCTACTGACTGTACATGTTCGAGTTTCCCATTAGTTCCCCTAGATTCATTACAAAAGGCTCTTTTTTTAATGTACAACTGTTGTTTCATGCTGATTTCTGTCTGTGTGTACTTGTGTAAAGGCAGCAGCTCGAAGAGATGGCAGAAAAAACAGGATTTTCTTCGGCACAGCAGTTTGCAGAAGAGATTCTGAGAGGAAAATCCACCCAAAGACTTGCCTGGCTGCGACAGTTTTACACTTCATTGGACCAGCCCGGCCTGGCTGATGTAGTCAGAAAAAACTTCCCTCAACCAGATGCAGCACAGGCTACCTCCTCACCCTCCCCGGCATCCACCAAAGTATCTGTTAAAGAGTTCAACCAAGATACGGGAACTCAACAAAATGATGTTCCAAAAGCCAAAAGGAGGTCCAGATACACAAAGAGGACTACTGAAGCCCAAACTAAGCTAGACCCCCCACAAAACAATGTTTCTGTGCCACAGAAAAAGTCTAGAAGAAGTCAACAAAATGATGTTGTTCAAGAACCTCGTAAAAAGCAAAACATCCAACGAAAGAATGCCCTTGAGCCTCTGAGTGATTTTTCAAGCCCAGAGACGGAGGAGGATGTCTGCAGTGCCAGAGGATATAAGAGGACAAAGAGGGGTAGTGTTTCTACTTCTGGAGCTTTCAGAACTGGTGGTGGTCTTGGCTTGGACCAGGCCAGCAGCAGTGGTCTGGGGTCTAGGGAGACTGCTGCCTTCCTGAACCGCACACACAGTGATACCCCTTCTTCGACGGACCTCAGCCATGGCAGGTCCACCACAATGTCCAAACCAACAGCACAGGGAAGGGAGCAAGAGCAAAAACTGTCTTCAAGAAGCAGTGATCCTTGTCAAGACAACAATCCTCCTCCTCCTCCTCCTCCTCCTGAGAAGGCCAAATCTACCTCCAGTCATAGATCTTTCCTCACAGATCTGATAGGAGACACCTCAGTCCTAGACGATTTGTTCAAACCCAAACCAAGAAGTACTCCAAAAACACCCCCTACACCAACCTCAGCATCAGGAAGCAAACATCTCACAACACCCTCTCCATCCGGAGCCACTTTTAAGACCAAACCAGATCCAGCAGAGTCTTTGTCCTCACTCAAGTCCAACACATCACCTACACACCAAACAGTATCAAAGAGCAGTCGCAAAGACTTCTGGGACATCCTGAATGAGGGTAACGAGGAAAGTATCAACAGGTTAACCGACTTAGAGGAGGTGCAGCGGGTTTGCATCGACACAAACTTAGCAGCTAAAAAAAGGACAAAGGAACAGGAGAGTAAGAGTCTGTGGAAGACTAACGATAAGTTCCTGTGGAAAAAATGATTCAGGAGAGACTGTAACGGTGTTCAAAGTTAGTTTTACAGTTTAGTACTTTTTATTCTTGCAGGTCTTGAGATGTTTAAAAAATGTTTGAATTGATATGTTACAGGTCTTCCTGCTGGTTTTAGGATTATTTTGTAATATTTTACCATCTCATTTAATTTGTTCACTTTTAAAATGTGTTTTATTATACATCTGTATTATTTGAAAAATTCTTCTTTTAATTTACATTGTTTTTTTATTGAATAGATAAAGTGTCAAGACCATGTTTACTGTCACTTGAATAAACTTAAGATGTTTGTACATTTTTAGAAATGATTGCCCTCTTTTTGATTTATTTCTACATGTTTTTACTTGATGGGCATAATTTCCTAATGAATAATTTTACAGGCACTGATAACTTAAACGCTCTAAAGTTAAAACCTTATAAGTGTTTAAATAATAAGTGGTAGCGACTTATAAATATATATATATTTTTATTATTTTTTATTTTGAGTTTTAATTTTTTTTACAGGACCAAACAAAAAAAACAGCAAAAATAAAAAAATTAAATCAAGATTCAGTGTTATGACAATAAATGATTTTTTAAAATAAAAGAATAAGCACACCCCTTTCCTATGGGAGTGCACATGCTATGTATTCTGTTGCATGGTGTTCCTACCTAGAGTTCTGCAGAGTGATCTAATATCATGTGGATTTTCTCACGCCTTAGAGTGGAAGCTGTTGTGCCATTAGTGAAACAACAAAAAGCATAAAAAGACTTGAAAGCTGGGTGTGGAGGAGTGAAGCAATTCCACACCCAACCATAAAGTTGTCCTTGTACTCTCGGTTTATGTGTTGGTCGAACTCTTGTCTTTGAAACTAGCACCTTGCTTGAAGTTTTGTAAGGTGACATGTCTTCAAGCGAAAAAATGCCAACCAGTGTCTACTTTATTTGACTTGGAGCTTTGCATTTATATAAAAACAGAGTCCTTGCAACCGGTGTATGCAGCTGTGTGACCTCTCAGCTGTTGCACCGAGGTAAATAAAGCCTCAGTGTGAGCTGCTCTGTTCAGCTGATGTTAAACAGAAATGAGAAGGCGCTGATAGCTATCAATAAACAGCAGCAGAGAGGAGCATGTGCCTCAAAAGAATATGCAGCTTTGTAAATTGTGTGTGTCTGTGAGTGTGCATGTGGACCTTCCTTCTGGGTGGTAGATCCTGAGTATCTTCACATACACAGAGCCCACTCATCTGTCACACCTGCTCAAATCAAAGACTGAGAGAAGAAAAAGCTCTTTCTCTTTTCCCAAAATCTGCAATCTCTGCTTTTCTCTTTAAGTTTCACCCACCACTGAAATTTGCAGATCTCTATCTGTTTTTTCTTTTCTGGTCTGGTTTAAGTGAGATAACTAAGAGGCTTCGCATTTTACTGACAATAGAAAGGCTCACACACTGACTGACAGTGGTTGCAGGCTAATGGATGGCAGCTAACATGCCTCAGTGGCAAACAAAGCTCTCTTATCCTGTATGCTAACTGCAGGATTCTGCAGAGGATCTCAAGTGAGACGTTCAACTACTGTGTGTGATCTGGGACAATGTCTCAAATCAGTGTGATGACTGTATTTGATTCTGCTTCATGCCATGTGGTGTGGTTTTCCAAAGAGCACCAAAGGAGACGGTGTGTTATTCTAGTTCTCCCATTAGTGTCTCATCTCTTTGTGTCAAGGGCAGGTTGAGAAGTCTGTTTATATTCCCTGTCACCCTAATTTATATGTCTGTTAGCCTGTTGTAAACAGGACAATCAGACCAAGTGTCAGAGAGACAGTTCTGGCAATGTTGGTTTATTTGCAGAAGTCAGACTTTGACACCTAGTTTGATTTCATTTGTAAAAAGCTGTGAATGAGTCCTGACCCACACTGACCTAGGCCTCCACTCATATTGGGCTCAGGTTTCCATACATGCACTCAGATCTGCAAACTTTTGCTGATTAATATCTAATGCATTTACAAATACATGAAAAAGTGAAGCCATGATAGTTTGACGACTTAGCTTGAATGCCTCTTGAAAAGATAAAATGAAAGTGTGCTTGTATTATCTCAGTATGACAGGGCTATTGCTCCTATAGTCACAGAACTATGAAAAAAGGTTCCTGCAGTTTTTTAAAGCCTGATGATAGGCAAAAGTTTAGCAAGTTCCTGTCCTGCAATCCGGGCAACAGCAGAAAAGCTGAGTGCATCTCTAAGCAGCCAATCACTAAATTACCTAGTAACTTAAAGGGATATTCTGGCGTAAAATTAATTAAGGGTCAAACACATCGTAACACAGAGTTAGACACCCCCTCGAAAAATGAATGTTGCTGACTGCTTGCTTCTCTAGTTATGCCAACTTTAGTAATGACCACACGATAGCAATACACAGCAATCTCAGGGGCCACACACAAACTTCAACCAAAATGCCACTCTATAGCCACAAATAATGCTCAGAACAGCACCTAACTTCATCAACAGTACATGTAGGGTCCCAGCCATAGTACTAGCCACCAAACATCTTTTTAGCTTTGCCTAATTTCTTTAGCAGAGAGACTAAACACAACTCACCCACTCTCTTCCAGCAGCCGCTTGTTTGTAGCGAGACCTCAGGCCAGTCCATTAAGGACTACAGCGGGGTGACACAGCTCAAAGAAGAACATTTATGATCATTACTTCATCATTTCCTTGAAGTAATAATCACCATATTAGTCATTCATTTCCATGAAGTAATGATCATAAATTTTCTGGTATATCTAGAGAAGCAAGCGGTCAGCAACAATTATCGCTTGACGGGGTGTCTAACTTGGTGTTACGGTGTGTTTGACCCTAAATTAATTTATGCCAGAATATCCCTTTAAACTATAAGCAGTGGCAATCATACCAACAGTGATAAAAGCTAACATATCTCATTTATGTCGACAGAATACTTTTTGAAATATATAAAGAAATCAGCGCGATCACACAGGATTATTAGAAGCTGGTGTAGAAAAATCTTTTCAGGGCTAATAAGGGTCAATAAAAATTTAAATGCCGTGTGAGTTTCCTAATAATGGCTGTAAAGATATGAGTAGCTACAAAAACGTGTATTTAACCCACACAGGTGTTAATGAGGAAACAGGAAAAAGCACTATAATAAAACCATTAAGCTGACTCAGCAAGTAAACAACTACAGAATCCTGTCGTTACAGTAAGTGGCCGAGGGGGTCTGTGAAAAAGAAAAACTCCCCCCTTCATGAGAAAATTACACATTATTTACCCCTCATTCCTGGTAACTATTTGTGTTAATGCATTGGCTCCTGGACCCTTCCACTCCCATTGTGCCGCATCATAAAAGAGATATAACACAGATGCAGAATCTCACATACACACTTGAACTAACAAGTGTCTGGCACAGTGAGTCACAGTCAGGCTTATCCTCCTCATTATAAGCCATGCATGAAAATAAAGATATGCACCTAAACTGGAGTCTTTTCATTGTTAACACCTGTAGTCAGCTGCAGGAGTAACTAAGCCGTGCAAAGTTGAACAAAGAGAGACTCAAATTCAGATTCTGCACAAAGAGACACTTGTCCTCAGTGCCTGGATGACAGGAGAGTCAGGGATGGAGGGAGGTCTACATTTTTGCTCCCTGCAGAACAAACGGGAACGGAAAATTGCATGTTTCCCCATGGGGTAAATATTGAGAGCAGAGATATAAACGTACGGAAGAAAGGCTTTTCGGAGCTGCCTGGCTCCTCTGTTGCACTGCCAAAGGCCTGTGCGTCACTTGATCCATTGTTTAGTGTAGAGAGGGTCTCAGTAAGCAAGCAGGCTGCCTCCCCGATCCAGCTGCAGCCTCTCTACTGTTTATGTTTGCAGGGCCCTGCGCCTTGAAGTGAGGCTATACAAGCAAAGCCTGGCCATATGTGAGCACTGGGCCGTCACAAGAGTCACAGGCCTTTTCTTTTCCATCCCTCTTTCCTCGATACTCACCCTCTTTTTTCTCTTCCCTGTCTTTTATCCATTTTTTGTCCTTCTCCCATCGTCTGTCTCATCCTTGACAAAGTGTTCTGTTGGAGAAGATGAAGCATTAGAATTATCCTCTTGAGTTTCAAAGAGCTCCATCCCAAAAATTGGAGAGAAGTGGTAGGTATCATTACTCTTGTGAGAAATAATTACCCCAAAAACTCCCCTCTGAGAAGGAATCTTTGTGTGCTCAGCAACAAAGTTTGATAGACAAGGTTGTAATTATGCCACAGAAATATTTCAGCTAGTGTAAATATTCAGATATTTATACTGGTGTGTCATTCTGCACTTTAAGGAGATGGAAAACATTCAGAGAGAAAGCCACTGAAGGAAATACTGAGTCATAAATGCGAAGTGTATGTAACTGACTATTGGGGTTTCATGGCATGTCCAGTAATTTGCTTAAATATCCATACTGGGGTTTAATTTTATGCAATTTCATGTTGTATTAAAGGTTCTTTGAAGATTTTTGCTGAGTGAGTTTCCTCATTTAACCAAAACTTCTCCTGAACATATTCATGAGGCAAGCTTTCGTGTGTGTGTGTGTGTGAGTGTGTGTGTATGTAGGTTATTGGTCCTGACCTCGGCTCCTGGGTGGGCCGTGGTGGCTGTGTGCTTGTCTTGGATCATCTCTGGACCCTTCTGTTTATTGAAACAACAAGCAATCAGCGTCCAAGGAGGAGAGTGGAGTCATTCGGGGAACGTCCTCAAAGGCAGCACCTTTCGTCTTTTCTTTCCTTTACCCACACACACAAAGCTACGTGCAGACACACAGTCAGGCTAACACAAACTCTATCTGCGTGTTAAGACTGTTCTCTGAGCCCTGACCACCCACATATGCTACGGTCACCAAGTGAAATGAAAACTATGACTTTCCCTTGACCCCCTTCTTTAATGAATCTCTCATCTGCCAGAGGCGTTAGACATGTTGAGGCCAGTCTGACTTCATATCTGTGCTAAAATACGATCCCATTGATGGTTTAACTATTATCCCACCAGTGCAGGAGAGACACTCGCCCACATCGATTCTCTGTGAAGAAAGAACCATCTCCAGCAGCAACCTGCTATTAGGAAAGCAGTGACATTAAATTTTCTTCTCTGAAAGCCTCATTTGATGTTAGATTGGCTTTGAAACCCACAAATTAAAAGGTGTTGTAAAAGTGCTTTGCAGATAACCTGAGGTGTAGAAAGTCCCTGGTTGGTACAAGTGGGGTAAACAACCTTTGATTTTAGCTGCAGGTGACACACACACACACTCAAAGTTCAGCTTTAAAGAGAGAAACTAAAGGAACATTCAGACAACAAACCTGGAAATTCCCCCAGGAGGACAGAAGTCTCTCTACATCAAATTGAACTTGTAGTCAAAAGTACAAACTACTGGGTTGTGACTTAATTCTGATTTTTTTGTTTGTTTGTGTGTTTGTTTTTTGTATTTAATGTTACTTTCTACTACACATACTGTACACTGAAAATACTTTGGAATGAAATTGATAGTTTTTCCCAATAGCTCTGCTTGTAGTTTATCAATATGATGCAGGCTCTGATCTGAAATAACCCAACCCTAAAACTATCAAATATTGTGTGTGTGTGTGTGTGTGTGTGTGTGTGTGTGTGTGTGTGTGTGTGTGTGTGTGTCGTGCGCGCTTATGTGAGTAAAACTGTGTCTAACACAGTATTCTGAGGGCACATGTGAAATCTTTTCAGACTGTGACCTCTAGTGGTTACATTGAATAGTACTAGCTTTTACGTTCTCCTGAGCCATACTTGCAAAAAGGTGTGCAGTTACTTTTCTTATAGATTAAATATTTTTATATCAATTTATAATTTATCCAACTTTGAAATTGAAAGTCAAAGGGATAAAGCAGATATCTGCACCAGTATAAGTGCAAAAGCATTTAAATGTTCTGGTCATGTTTCTCATCCTTGAATGCTCAGATATATTAAATTCATAACACCTGTTGCACCACTGTGTAGCCAGTTAAGTCTTTGTAATTTGCGTCAATAATTCACTCATTTTTGTGCGTAAAGCAAAACACAATGTTCATACTGTATTCTTCAGATGATGCTGGCTTTTTTTCTATATAACCTAAGGTTAATTCAGAAGTCCACTGCTTTATATTTTTCAAAATATCCGAATAAATCACAATAGAGCAGTAATGTTATTTCCTAAGATAAACCCTTTGTTGATTTAGGCTCACTGGTTCACTCAAAAGATGTCATATTCACCCTTTCACATGCTGGGACTGGAGGTGTTATGCTGCTTGCTTATCAGTATTAACTCATCCCATTTGCACAAATTCATTCACACCACTGTCTAGACTATTATACTACCAGGGGCAATGTGACACTTAAGGAGCTGGTACTGAACCACCAACCTAGCAGTTCAGAGATGCTTATTTATCCTATGAGTGATCAAAGGGATAAATACAGACTTTTAATGTGACTTCTTTTATTGTCTTTTGTCAGACGTGCATGACATGGATGACAAACTCTCTGTAACTGTGATTTCTCTCTCCTCTCTGATCTCTGCAGTCTCGCTCATGGGAGGGGATGGGTCATTCATCATGGCTGCCTAAAAACCCTGGTTAGAGAAGTGACTTCTTCAGGTCAGACATCTTTGGTAGCACATATAATTCAAATGGCAGTGTTGTATCGTTCTGCCTCTGCACAGCTGAGTAAATGTTTCTGCATGACTTCAAACTTTACATCATCCTGTAAGCAGCAGGGTATCAAACCCAGGTCTCTAGTGCATTCACATTTGTCAAGATCCATGTAGTCACTAATCATTTTAATCCCCACTCTGACCGGTTCTGTGGATTTAAAGCAGTGACTGACACCTGAAGTGGACGGCTGGTAAACTCATCTGATCCCATGTTTCCTCCTTCTTTAGGGTGAAATGATACTGATGACTGTTACAGGTGTGTTTTTGTGTGTGCAGTAAGTGTGTCCTGAATGTGTTTTGATACCAGCAGTAAAGCAATGAGTTGTTAAGTTAGTCATCCTGGATCATGTTTGATTCTTACTCAACACTTACGACATGTGTTAAAACAAGAATTAACAAGACACATAGGGGCAAATGTACAACAAATTCAACTATAAAGGAAACAAGAATTACAAGTTTTTAGATGATACAAAACTTTGAGCAAAATACAAATAACACAGATTTTTATATCAGAGTTTTGTTGCTGCTGTCAGAAACATTACAGGGTCACTACTGAGGCCAAAAAGGGTGTTATAAGGGCTTGTGCTGCTTTCACTCTTTTCAACCATTATGATCAGATAAAATACATATGAGGGATAATGTATAGTGAGTGGGTGGGTGGTTAAACACATACAGAACCCCAGCAGGCTGTGACAAGATGCTGACGGGTATCAGAAGAACCTGCCTCAAACTCAAACGCTGCGTGTTGGACAAAAGTCCCTTCTTGAACAAACCTCAGAGTGAAAACTGCATTATGGTCACACTGCCACCTACTGGAAAGTGACAAGACCTGCATTAAAGAGATCAGTCAGTAAAAATTGACATTGCACTGTGCACTCTAAATTCATGCTGCAGCTGTGCAACCTCAGTATGAACCAATCCCCAAATCATATATCATATTTAATGCATATCTTTGACATCATCTTAACATCACAGGAATCTTATTTACACTTAATGGCAGGATAAATGTGTTGGATTATGTAACAGTCACTTTGGCAAGAAAAGACTATATTCAATATATGACAGAAAGAGAAGGGGATTTTTTTTCCCTTTAATTTAATAAAGGCACCATGGTGGTTAAGAACTGAATAAGTTGACCTTTATTCTTCTTGTAAAATATTTGTGACAACTTTTTTTTTTTTTTTTAAATAAAAAAGCTTCTGGTTCATGTTATTTTAACCAAAAGTATTAAATACCAAGATACATTACAAAATAATACAAAGCACAAAATTAAAGTTCTATATTTGAAATGAACTAAAAAATACTGAGTACAACCATGGTGGTGGCGGAGTAATATATATATTAATCCATCTTTTTGTGAACTGACTGTTGACCAACAGCATTGATCTATGAGAAGATATTTTACTCTGTTCTTCTCCAGCACCAAGTTTCTGATTCTCTTAGTATCTTTTGTCTGTGTTGTACATTGTGGACAGTCCCTGCGCACATAAATATGGCCCATGAGCATTGTATATATGGGCTTGTTATTACAAGCCAAAAACAAGAACTTGTTGATTGTAAGGCGTAAAAATGGCTTCAGATTTAGTTTTCCCAAAATTTGATATTTTAAGAAACTTATCAAGAACATTTTGGCTTGAGATATCTTTAAATAAGATTGATATTTGGGCCTTTCAAGGAAATTGAGCTTAAGTTAGGTGTCCTATGATATTTTGACTATTCATTAGACAAATCTACTTGATAAGATCTGAGTTTTTGTGGTGAAGATATCATTCAGTCAGCTATAGCTCTGGCCACTTTGCGTCAACCCTTGAATTCAGTTTAATTAATTTAATACTTAAGGCTACTGTGGGAACATTTTAGCCTGTTTTGGTGCCCCCTGTGGACAAAGTGACGTCTTTTGTCTCTTGTCCAGCACATAAGAAAATAGTGTTATTAGACAAAAACCTCCCCCCTGTTGTTTTTTAACAGGGAAATATACCACTCAGTGTGAAAGTTTATCATAAAAAAGGAGTACAAAAGGCATTTTTCTTTTCATCTGCTCTAACACCTAGCCCCTTATCGTGATTTAAAGCTCTGAAAAATACAACAGAGATCTCACCAGCCTTGTTGCTGATGGTCTTGTTTCGTTTTGAGGCTCATAAAGAGGAATTAGTATACGTTTCAGTCTGTTTCTCAACCAGTTAAGAACTCCTCACAGTGCCTTTAATTGACAAAATGTAATAAAAAATGTAAAAAACTGTTATATCAGAGAGTTTCCTGATTTTTACAATAGTTTGGTACATTATGTTTTTCAATTAGTTAATGATAAAGGTACATTAATGATTTTTCTGAATAGTTGAACAGTTTGACTTTTTTTTCACAGAAATTACCCCAGAAATACAAAATAACTGAATGTAGTGAAGGTCACTCAATTGGACTTGGCAGGGGTGTGAAATTTTGGTCTCAATGTCCGCCGTTTCCAAAAGCGACATGTGTTGCAGACTTGGATGGACCCGCTTCTGTTTTCTTCTTGATATAGTCTTGCAGGCTGTGCAACATAGTCTCTGAAAAAAGAATCTTGAAAGGAATAGACAGCAGCAACCAGCCCTTTGCACGCACGCACACACACACACACACACACACACACACACACACACACACACATGAAAAAGTACAGGTCAGTCTTTTACATTCTCATTAACAGCATTATGCAGCGTCACGGTCAGTAATTCTCACCAGAATCATGTGGCAGATGCTGCCGTATGTTTTGTCTCCAGCTCTGACGTATTGCAAGGAGCTTTGCACAAAGGCCTCTGGAGTCAGAGTCACTAGGTTGGATTTTTGATAACCTGCCATCCGTGTTGAGACCCCAAATGGAGATACAGCCTGACAGAAAAGACAATGGGGAAAAATTGTGGCGGGTGATAGGAGCCCATTTGATTTAAAAATTCGACAGACAGACAGATCATAAAAACAGAGTACCTGGATAATAACCCCCTTATCTTTGTATTCAGCTTGCAGAGCTTGAGAGAATCTCTCCACAAATACCTATAGAAGCACAGTTTAATGCATGAGTGATCACTTAGCCTCATCATAAAACTAAGTATGCTCTGAATGAGCTGGACTCACTTTAGATGCTGCATACAGGGTGTACAGGGGAAAAGGTACAGATGCGACTCCAGACGAGATATTTATTATCACCCCTTTTCCTCTGAAGAGGCAGGAAAAAAAGTGGCTTTACATTAATGGCCAGAGATCTGTGTCATTCAGGGTTTTATATCATTTTAATACACATTACATCTTATTAAGAAAACATGTTAGGGGAACCTGTTCTCCATGCCTGGAAGGGTTATTTTGCACATCTGGGAAAAAAAGGAGAAAAAAGTCAAATCAATCAGATTTTATTTATGTAGCGCCAATTCACAACAGTCGTCATCCCAAGATGCTTTTCAAAGAGCAAGAGCAGGTCTGGATCATGCTCATTGTTTGATGAATTATCAAGACCCAACCTAAAATGGAATTTGGCCCATCTCATCTAACAAGAGCAACAGTGGCAAGGAAATTCTTCCATTTAATAGGCAGAAACCTTGGGTAGGACCAGACTCATGCCAGACAGCCACCAAGCTGCTGCTGGGTTGGGGAGGAATACAGAGAGATAGGGGGAGAGAGGGAGAGAGAGAGAGAGAGAGAGAGAAGTGGAGGGAGGACAGGGGAAGAGAAAGAGAACAAGATAGAGGGAAGGAGAGAGAGAATGAGTAAGGGAGAGGGAGGGAGAGAGAGTAGAGAACGAGGGTGAGAGAGAGAGAGAGAGAGAGAGACAGACAGACAGGGGACAGCAGCAAACTGTTGCTAAAAAGTATGTTTTAGCAACAGGTATAAGGGTTGATGGAGTTCAAATAGTCCAGACAATCAAGGACTCTTTAACACTAAGGCAACACTTTATGTGATGCCTATCTCTATAACACATGATAAATATATGTATAATGCATTATAAACATGATATAGCTCTGTATAACTATAGTTGTAAACACTCATAAATGATCATAATGCTTTATAGCAACAATCATAACACATTTTAAACCATTTTATCATGACTTACAAGGTCAGGTATTATAATGTGTCATTACTGTTAACAACTCACTGACAATGCCCACATGGATAATGCATTATACATTAATTGTATAATTTTGTGTTAAATGTTGTGTTATAATTTGCTTATAAACTTGTATTACTATCATTTTAAACACTCATAAATGATCATATTGCTTTATAAAAAATAAGAATAACACATTATAATACCTGATCTTGTAAGTCATGATAAAATGCTTTATAATGTCTTATGATGATGAGTGTTTATAACGATAGTTATACAGTGCTATAACGTGATTATAACACATTACAAATATATTTATAATGTGTTACAGAGATAGGCGTCAAGTAAAGTGTTACCGACTCTTTAATGCAGTCAGTTCCTTTTTTAACTCATAAAGGTAAAAACAATACCTCTTAAAAGTATATTATACCCCTTTTAGTTTCACCAAGCCTGACTAGGGTCTGATGATAAAGATGTTGTAAATAATTGGGGTAAGAGATGGACAATGTGGATGATTCTTTGATTTGTTTTTAAGTCAAGAGTTTCAGATACTAGACTGTGCAGAGTTTTTTTGTTGTTGTTGTTTATAGTAAATACACACTCTTACCTTAGCCATAGTTTTCACGTTGCAGTTAATCAACTTTGTGATTATCTGAAAGCACATTTAAACATTAGTCTTAATTAAGGTGTCATGTCTGATACTAAAGGGACAGGAAATTAAATAACATAAACAGGGTGAAAAGGTTGTTTTAAATGTGAGGGAAGCTACGACTCTACAGAATAGTGACAGGGTTTTCTTACTTATCACCCAACTGTGTTAATAGAAGACCTTTTATGCTGATCTGTACGTTTATTGTTGTAGAGTTTTTGCATCTTGGTTTTATATGAATGAGTCCATTGCTGGGGTACCACTGACCTTATCAAGCTCTTCAATCTCAAGGAATTTTTTCGGGACGACTTTGGGTAGCATGCCTACATTGTTAACTAGGGAGACAGATGATTGTAAAGGTTTGTGAAGAAAACTTGAGGACTTTGCAAAGTATTATTCTGGAGTTTGGGAAATAATAAGACAGTCAAACCTAAAACCCCAATGTTAAGGCCACGGAGCTGATCCTGAATTTCACCAAACACATTTTCCTTCATGAAGTCTGTTACAATCACTTTTACTCTCTGCCCTGTTGTTTCACCTGTAGAGAAAGAAAATCTTTGGTTAACTTTACAGCCAGTATGATGTACCCTTTTATAATCCAAACAACATGTCTACAGGTGCAATCAGTGTCAGACATTTACTAAAAGGGAAATGAAAAGTTAGTTTACTTATTTTTTTGGCCACCTGGTCCAATGCTGCTTTAGTTCTGCTCATGATAACTACATTCATTCCTTGTTTGGCAAGCTGAGAGAGGCACAAGTGAAATTTAGAGATACACAAACATACCTTGTGGTGGGGGGCATACCTGAAAGCCCCTCACCCCCAAAAAATACACTCATACATGCAAAATACCTCATGTACATTAAAAGACTTGACTTGTAGTGGGTGTTTTGCATTGGTGAAGTCATGAAATTGCCCAATACTTGAATTTCAAGTTTTCCAGAAATCTTACACACATGCTGAGACAGTCATTTGGATCGTAACTCACCTCAAATGCATATGCTCGGCCTATTCCTTCTGAAGCACCGGTCACCACTGTAACAGATGCAGGAATTACTCAGTAAGTACTTCATAGTTATTGGTTGTTCTTATTTTTTTTCAGTTTCTTCTTTAAACACCAGGGGTGCTGTAAATCAGAGCTATCCAGCCTCATATCTGCTCCAAGACAGATCCGGGGATTGTGTTTGTTTTTATTTACAATACCAAACCCACCCTGTTACACACTGTGCTAAAACAGCCTGTTCCCCCCGCTCTGATAAAGAGTTTTGTTAGATTAGAGGAGAACTGTGTGTTTCTGAGTCACCACTCTCCCATTTCCTCCTCATCATGATCACAACAATCACAGCCTCTTTTCTTCAGTATTTCCGGAAAAGAAAAAAAAAGGAAAATGGCATCTGATGACATCCAGTTTGAGATTTACACGTGCATTTACAAAGACTGGAATGAAAGGAATTGGATGGAGTCATTGTTGGCTAGGAAAAAGCACACATGTAATCGTAGAGAGAGCAAGCAGCACTTTAGCCTGAATTCATTTAACTTTTACTTTAATAAAAAAAACATAATTGGAGTCATGAATTCATGCAGTCTTTTTAACTCACCAAATAAGGACAGTGTCAGATGACTGAGCTGCATGCTCTAAAAATTTAATATGGGCCATTGGAAAATAGTTTACACACCGTGTGATCAAAAGATCAAACAAATGGACTATTTTTCAACAATTTATTTCTGGAGTTTTTTTTTATGACAAGCTAAGAGATAACACGGTCCACTGAAAGACACTGGCCCAGTATTCATTCATAGTTTTGTCAGAAGGAACATCTCCAACGTTGCAAAGATGTTAAAGTCGCCATGATAATTGAATGTTTCTGTCTGTTTGGTATAAAAACAGGGAATTTTCAGTTTTAAAATTCCTGTTTTTATCTATAAATCAGAGTTGACTTTATACTTGATGTTCCCAGGTTTACAAAATGACAGATTATCTGACTTACTTTTGATGTTATTTGGAAAATTTAGATAATATGTAAGACAATTTGTGCCAAAAATATTAACTATTAGAGGGCATTAACAATTTGAGTCCATTTATTCATCAAACTGAATATAATTGAGACCCATGTATTGTGATCAGGTGATCATACAAATAAGAATCCTGGCTTCCTAATGGAGTTCAAACTCACACGACCACCTCCTCGCTGCATGTTATTTCCATTATTACATGACAAACAAAATAGTAGTGAATAGTAATCAAAAGATGGTTTTATTGTATGAAATTGATTCCTCTGGTTCTTCACGCTCCTATCAATGGATTCTTGCCCAGTTGGATAAACTCCAGGTCAACTGAGGACAAAAAACAATATCCTCATAGTTTCAAAGTATTATATCAAAGTTAAGTCCATTTCAGATAAAGACATGAAATTTGATTTACCAATATTAGGTTCTGAAAACATGCACCAACTCTGCTTTTTTCTTAACACTGACCCACCGAGGATGCAAGTGTTCTGACCATTGTCAGATATGCCTCAGATAGAGTTCTTGCACTTTCTGTGCAAGACCCACACTGTGGATTTATCTTATTTCAAGTGCTTTTTTGTTTGTTTGTTTGTTTGTTGTTTTATTAAAAGCTATTTTTTTTCTTAGTGCCCTTCATAGATGATGATTGACTCTCCAGTTTCCCATGTTTCTTTTTTCCAATTTGTCATAATCAACAGGTAAGTGCAGCTCTACCAGAGTGCTAAGTGGCTGGACAAAGGGCAGATAGGGGTCAGAAAAGTGGTTCATGAAGCTTTAAATAGCTCACTTTGTCTGAGTTTTCCTAGATTTTTTTTTGTTTTCACAGTGGGGATTAAGTTTGAGAGCCAAAAAGAGGTTGTCAGGCAACTGATGCAACCAGCAATAATAAAACCATAACCTGCTCTCTGTCTATTAAATTGGCTCAAATGACAGCAATGCACGTAAAAAAGTAAAGAGTGTTGCAAGGGGGCACATGCATTCAAATAGACTCCAACTTTATTATCCTTGCACCAGATTCATCTGAGACCTCTTACAACTTAAGCACTGAGCGGGTGAGACCAGATCATGCAGATTTGGTTTCAAACGGTCACAATGGGTATTAAAGTGGAGGGACAGGATTTCTGCAGGCTAGAACACACTGTTCTGGTGGCTGTTTTCCCCCTATGCTGGAGAGGATTGAAAGTGGGCTTCAGGAACAAAAGACAGATCAGCCCAGTATTCTATTTTTTTAATAGGGCTTTTTCTAGGTCTGTGGGAGACTGAATAACTTCTAAAGAAGATGCCAAAGCATTTCTTGTAAGTGGATGAGACTGCTATGGGACTTGCACAGGAATGTTTCGGTGTGATCACCGTGACTTGGTTTGAGTGGTGTGCAGAGTTGAGAGCATCTGTTCAGCTGTGTTAGGGTTAAAGTGTACTCAGGCTGCCCCCAAGTTTATAGGACAGTCAGATCCTTGATTGCTTGCACCAGCTCAGGAAAATAGTATTGAGTCCAAATTATCTTTATTTCTGTCTCTCGGCTCACCCTAAAGGGGTTTCACTGGAAGATGTTTTAAGAAGGCAGGGCAGTTTGTTCTGTCCTGTGTACAGGGAATGTTCCCTTTGGCAGCAGTCTTACTTGTTGCCTTAATTTTGTCTAAAAAAAGAGTTAATCTGTTTACCATAAGACATTAGTGAACAATGTTAAGATACTCCTTACTTCCTCTATTACTTTTTGTTCCCTTGAGTTCATTGGATGCCTAATGTCTTGATTTTTGGATATTTGCCCAATTTCTGCTCAGGGCCTAGCAACAGCACAAGTTCACCAAAGCCAGGATGTGTTTTCATTTTCTCTCTTTACTCAACCTTATCTCTAAACACAGATTCAGAGTACGATGGATGCAGAATCGGATGAGAGACTCAAGTGTTCTGGTTCCCATCTGCAGCCTGGGTCGTATCACCCACTAGTTTCTTTGCAGAATGGAAGTGAAGGCAAAAGGGATTGAACATGGACATCCCACTAAAATCCCAGAACCCTTGAGTTATGATTTTACAACATTTTAACTTTATTACACCAGAGGGACATCAGCATGTGAGTGCAGCTCACAGTTCAAACAAAGATGAGTCTCTGACCTTGATCAGTTGTCATGTAATGCCCCACGTTGCTGCCCAGAGTGTCAACAATGAAGAGCGCACGCAAAGGGCAAGAGAAGAGGAAAGAAAATCTTCACTTGATCCCTATTTGCTCATCTGACTGAGTTGAAGCCCCTAAAATATCAGCTGTTGCTCACAGAGGCTGTAGCCTGTAGCTGACATGGTTGAGAAACTTCATGCCTCCCAACTGGTTCACAGGTCAAACAACTGGTAAGCAATTTGACAAATGAACCCATTGGTTAACCTGATAAAATCCCATGCAATTTCATTCATGTAACGTAAAGCAAGAGCAAACTGTATTACTAGACAAACAAAAAGAAGCTAAACACACAGAAGAAACCCAGTGCAAAAGTGCAAAACAAGAAAGTGGGTGATAAATATGGCTGCAGGATGAAATCGCCAATGAAACTCAAATGGTGAGGACTCAAATCTGTTGTGACTTAGCCAACCCCAAATTCTGTCCCGCTCTTTTGGTTGCTCGATTTGTTTGTTGTGTTTGGACAGACCGCCTGCTATTCAAATAATAATAGAGCCTTTTTTGTCCTGCATCCGTCTCTGTTATTTAGTCTCTGCTCAGCCCACTTTCATTACATTCATAAAGTTGTCTGTAATTTACCCAGAACTCTGAATCAGTGAATATATTACAGTCAATGTTATTCTGCAGAAAACTTGAGCAGATCTGCTCTGAAAAAGATATGAACACATGGCTCCTAAGAAAATTTCATGACTTATCACTTAAGGCGTCAGCATGATACAGGTTTAATCTTGTGTAACAGCGAAATCTGGAAACTCATCCAAAAGCAAGACAGGAGCTGTACGTTTTTTTTTTCAGCTGTGCATGTTCAGGCACATTCTGGTGCCTTGAAACGCTCAAATGCAAATGATTATATCTTTATAAGTAGGGCAGTTATCTCAGCACACAGCTGTTAAAATCTGTTTATTTAACTATAATCGAGTCAACACCACTAGGCAAATACAGAACAATTGATTTCATTCTGAAAAATACTCCGCATGATGGGAAATCTGCTTGCCGGTGACTGCCAAAGATAAATGTGTGACTTTTGCTCTTCTTCCTCAAACCTCAGTTATGATCTAAAATACATAAAGCTGCTGCTTCATGACTAAAGCTTCACCATTTTTACTCAGTGTTATGGAAATCTAAAATGTTGTATGGTAATTGACCCATGTACCAAAGTCTTAGTATTTACAAGCCACATCTCAGCACATGCACAGTACACCCTCACACATACACAGGCACACACACTCACCTGCCCACTCTCCCACTGAAGTGAAAAAGGTCTCTGGAAGAGGAAAGAACAGTTTTGGAAAAAGCATCCTGCTGAAAAGCAAAAGTTTTAGCCCGTAGTAGGCAACAACTGCAAAACCAAGGGAAATAAAAAACAGTTCACTCCAATCCATTTTTTCTTCTGCGTAACAAGATACAAGTAGCTTCAAGCTGTGCTTTTGTCTGCTCCTTGTAGTTTGGTGATTCAGTGTCAAATACAGAATGACAGAATGAGGGGATAAGTCTGCCAAAGGACACTCCCATTTCAAGAACTGACACACATACTTCAAACACACACACTCACACACACACTCACACACAGACACAAAAGGGTTGTCTTGGTAATACAACCATGCAGAACATAGGGGATTACGCTGGTGTGTACATGTGACACTGACTCTTACAAAGATAGCACCAAAAATTACTCCCCAGCAACCACAGTCATGAGTTTTCCCCAAAGGACAGTATTATTACTTAATCCATTAAACACTGGGTCTCTGGCATCCTCCTTATTTCTAGAAACACTTATCTGTATTGAGATTAAACCCTGTCTTAAATGTCATGTCTGCACTCAGACTCTAACTCTGCATCTCATGTATCTTGCAGGATTGTAAACAATAACCAGTACAGGGAAGTTTAGACCCAAATATCTCCCACAGCTTGTCTTAAAAGTTGCTGGCTGAAGTTTTATTTGGAAAAAAAGCAAAAATCCCCCACAGGTTAAATTGTTATCAGTGGATAAAGATTGGAAGACTAACCTCAGACCACACCAAGCCACCATGCAGAATAGTGAGTCTCTATGCACTAAAAAGGTACCATTAAGTCTATTTTCTTCTTCCATGAATCCCTCTTTCTCTCAACCATCTGATATCAGAGGGACTGTGAAGTAGTAGACATATTTCAAGATTAAGTAGGCTGTAACAAAGATTACTGGCTTCACTACTGGGTTTTATCTTCAGGGTTTTTTTGTCATCATTGAACTAATGTACAGTTTGTGTAGTCATGTAACTCATCTACATTTTAAGCAGTGATAGTATCCTGTTTGAGCTCACCTAATGGTTTTCAGTGGCTTTTTGATGATTAATTGTTCAGCGAATGGCCGTTTCTGAACAACAGGAGTGAGGGGTTGGCAATTTTCAAGCTATCAAGCCAAAAAATATCTGCTCCAGGCTACTTAACTTGCTGGCAAACAAACTTCTCACAAGAATAAGACTCTGTTTTTAATTGCCAGACAGGATTTACTTGTTTACAAGTCTAAAGAAATAAGAGTTTGTCATTAACTCATCGCTTGGTGAAGGCAAGAAAGTAGCAAAAACAGCACTGTTGGTTAACTGTTTAAACATTTTTTTTCATCAATATGGCATGCTTTCCTCTCTGAGAGGAAAAGCCACCAACTATTCTGACTCCTCTCTGGCTAGTCATTTTATGTCTGGGGCTGTAATACCTGTTAAATAAAGGAATTATTTGGATGAAACTTGCATGAAAAATCCTTAGAAAGTATAAAAAACACAAACACAAGAGGTTCCTCAGAAGTCTCAGAAACTGAACTGACTTTGTAGATTCTGGGCAAATACAGTGCTTAACGTGACCATGCCTCTTATTGTGCATAAATTCAAAGTTTAATGTTGTTCATTTAGCTGAGACATGAAAAATGTGGTATTTGATGTGTGCCAAGATGAATTTCTTAATTTTTTTGAACTACCACTATTCCGCATAAATATGAAAGACTATATTTGCTTGTTATTTAGCAACTTTTTGTGTACTTTTATTTTTTGGGGGGAGTTTTTAAAATCCCCACTTCTGTTTCCGATTAAGTGTTTTTGTGTTAAGTATTGTAATTAGCCACATTATTGTATGTCATCAATTACTGAGCCAAAAAATTACAAAAAACCCTCCAATCTTTCCATCAATTGCATGACAGCTAGCTGACTGAATGATGTCCACTCCACAAAAAAGTCACATCACACCAAGGGAATGTGTCTCACTGTCAAAACACCAAATTTCACCAACCCTATTGACACTGTTGTTGTGCCCGGCACTAGTTTACAGCAACATGTTTATTCACTTTCACATGTATTATGTGTATTCTTAGGTATGTTTGTTGCATTGTTGTCTGGTAGATGTCATGTAGATGTCATGTAGATGTCAAGTGTTGCATTTCATGTATATCTTGCTTGTTTGATGATGGCCCCAAGAGCAGCTGCTGCATTAGGGGCAGCTAATGGGTACTTAAATAAAAGAAAAGGAGATGAATAAAAGTTAAAGTTAAAGTCTTAAGTCAATACGTATCAAGCCAAAATGTTATCAGCAAGTTATTAGAAAAAAATTGCAATGCTATCGAAAGATGCAGCAATATAATTTATAATTTTACCCTAGTAGTTTTACACCTACTTCTGAGTAAGATATCATTACAGGAATGGTATTTTTATTTAAGTTAATTATTCTAGTTTACAGTCTATGGTCCAGTTCTACGGTGGCTGAGAGCTTGCAGATAAAAAAAAGCGGGCACAACAGAAGTTAACCAAGCAAAAAAAAAAAAAAAAAAAAAAAAAAAATTACTTATTGGAAAAAAAAAAAGATGCAATTAAAAAAAAACACAACGAAAGTGAGCTGCCGGGGACCAATAATAATGATGCACCGGTGTTTTACGATCTGGGCACAGAAGACAACCCATAAAGATAAGCAAAGATGTAAGTGGAGAGGTTATTGTTTAATTTTGCTCCATAAACATTTCAATGTGTCATTTGATTAGGCCATGTTGCGCCTGAGTCGATATGAAGTTGAACTGGAGGATACCAGTGTAGTGTTAGCTTCAGTCCAACTTAATATCGACTCAGGCGCTACATGGCCTAACCAAATGACACATTGAAAAGCACATGAAGCAAAATCAAACAATAAACTTTTTTTCTTTTTTAACTGCACCATTTCTTTTTTTTTATTTGCAGCGGGCTTCGCTTTCTTTTTTGTTGCAACGATAGCTTTCGCTGTGACTTCTTTTTTTTTTTTCCTTTTTTTATTTGCAGCAGTGGCGGTTCTCGGCCACTGTAGCAATGCTATGGAAAGATGCAGCAATATTATTTATAATTTCCCCAAGGTTGTTTTACATCTACTTCTGAATAAGATATCATTAAAAGAACGGTATTTTCATTTCAGTAAAATAATCTAGTGTACAGTCTATGGTCCAGTCCCATTCATGAACACTGTACAGTTAAATCATATCACCGCTTTCTTCTTCGTTCATTCATGACATCAGACGCTGCAGCTTTACCCCTCTACGTCATCGGCACGCGACTCCGAGTGTTGAACGCGCCATTCCCACAGGCGTGTGTTTCACTCTTCCATTACACTACCACTGGCACAGCCTTAGCAGCTACTGTCACGGGGCTCGTATTTTCTCTTCACCGTCATTCTTTTAGGTGAGTTCATGTTTGTATTTCTCTGTAAACTCACTCGCTTTAGAAAAGGGAACATAAATTGAGGTTTTAACGGACTGTTGCTTCCTTTCTTCTTGAAGTTTAGCCTGACAGCTAACCTAAAGCTAGCTGTGGTGTATGAAAGATGCTTAGACTATCGCCTGTTTAATTAGCAAATGGGCCGCTATCTTATTAGTTTCCATTATAACTGCAGGTTATACAAAGAGAGGGTCAGCATCCTACTCTACAAAAACACATTTTATTCCGAATTCACTCTCATAAAAACGTTTATGATGCATTACCCCTGCTCCTGAGCTTACTGTGTTTTCTTCAATTAGCTAAAAAAAACGCCTCCTTTTATTGACAGATATGTTTGCAGATGTAAATATGTAAGGCTGCTATATTTTTTCTCTCTTAGTGCCTGGTGGCTCGTAGTTTCAGATTGCTTAGATAAACTTTGTTATATTGAAACAGAGTAATTGAAAGGATTAATTAGCTATAAAAGAATCGATCTTAGCCGCATTGTAGATTAACATTTGATCTTTCGAGCTAACGTCAAAGCTATATGTGTTCAGTGTTGATTAAAGGATAAGTTATGTTCTCGTTAGCTTACTCGCCTCTTTACCTCAGCCTGTAACTGACGGATCAGAGACATGTCATGTCAATACAGAGCCAAAACAGCTGACATCCAAACAGCGAACAGGCGACAGGACCTGAAACACATGTTGTTGAAGTCACAGGGCCCTTCACTGAGGCTAACTTAGCCACTTTAGCTCCATATGTTAGCAAGCTACCTGTTACACAATGTACATATTTATCTTTTTCAGTTTTAGGGTTTCAACAAGGTAGTCCCATCTCGTTTTTGCATGTAGCAATCAGTGCACAAGACTAGTCCCAGATTTGACTGGAATGATGGGTAGAAGATGTAGATAAGGACCTTTACAAATCTGGTTTAAGATACAGGCCTCAAATGTATCATGAGGAAGAGTATAGATATAAATAATGAAATCAGGAATGGCTCGTTTCCATCAAACTGCCCTGTTGTCATCCTATGTGGTAGTCTGTATGATGGCTTACTGGGCCAAAAGAGTAAAACTGACCTATCATTGTTATCAGGGTGACTAATACTTCTTATACAATACAGCCTGTCTGCAGTGTTGTACCGAAATGATTTGTGTATTCATGTATAGGTAGGGGTGGGAATTGATAAGATTTTATTGATATCGATGCCATTATCGATTCTGCTTATCAGTTCAATTCTTTAACAATTCCCTATTCAATGCCTTTCTTCGATTTAATAGTAGATTATAGGTTTTCAATGGTAACTCAAAATTTTATTGAGTCTCTGATAACAGACAAAGTTGTATGCCACAGTCAGTGAGAGCCAATGACAAGCAGACTTCTATTACTGGCTATAATGAACAGTTTCATTAAAAATGGAAACCATTAAATCGCTAAAATCCAAAAATAATTAAACAACAAACCATTTGTGCAGCACTTACTTCGGTCAGTATAAAGTCAAATACATAATACATGGCTAAGTCTGGCATGTATTGTGCTTATGCTACCACGAGACATATGTGCCGTGCTGAGATGGAGCAGCAGCAGCTGACGACTGGGATAGGGCATCTAATACATGTGACTCCTCATTTTTGATTTGTTTAAGCATGTTGCAGGTGTTTTCACCCTTGCATGGTATCACTGCTCGACAAACGTTGCATGTCAAGCTGTTATTGTTTTTCTTAGTAAAATGAAGCCACGCTTTAGATTGTTTCTGCCTACTTTTCGTACCGTTTATTCCTCAAAGTCTCT